TACATGCCCATACTGATTAACTGCCCGACTAAACTATCGGCCGACGAAAAATCAACAGTGAGCGCCTACTCAAAAACTTCTGTATAATAAAAATAAGTAGGTAGGTAATATTGTAACTTCGTAACGTCTCGTAGCACGTAGCTGTGCACGTAGTCTCTAAGTACAAACTTTGCAGTCAACAAATTTTCATAGAGATCAAGAAACTCGTTGAAATATGACTACTGAAAAACTAAAAAGAGGTGATATAAAGACTGAATTAATTTCCTTACACTAGTACAAAAATGACAATTTAGTTAGGCGTTTAGTAGCACCCCTATGCGTTCGCGTGCGCCCTCCTGCTTGACAGATGTAGAACTAGTGACCAGGGTCACCAGGTGACGGAATTTTGCTGGATTACTATCAAAGAAATATTTTGTAGTTGACAACCAACAGTTGAAACATTGTTACTTTTTAATTTTTCAAAATAAGGCACCTAATTAGTTTTAAGTGTTAAGTGCATCACTCTTATTTTAGTCTGACCTAGAGTATGCTTGATTGATGAAAAACTAATTTTAGTAAAAACAACTTGACTTTGCTATTGTGATATTTTAGCTTGCGTTCTTCGAAAGACATGACTGTCTCTACATTAGTTATACAGTGTGAGTCACGTTAAAGTGTACATATGAAAATAGATGAAACTAGACCTATTTTTATCGACAAAAAAGAGGTCAAAATATTTTTGAGATTTTTTTTTAATTTTTTATAGAATTTTTTTTCTTCCAATTACTTATTGTAAAGAAAACGTAATAAATTTTAAACTAAGCGGTATATCCTGATAAAATAAAAACAGTAATAATGCTAAATAACACGCGATACTAAAAAAATACATAAAATACACAAAAAAGGCCAACAAATAATAAAAAATGATACTTTTTGAAAAAAATATGCTTTTAAATTCGTGTTTTTTTGGTTATTTGATAAATTTCTCCAAAAAATGTCCCTATAATCGGTGGTTTTTACTACTTTGTATTATTCTCTATCGTATTACCTTCATAAAACCAAAAATCGCATGTCTCTATCCCTATCACAACATTTGCAATGATCGTTTGAACTAAGCCTCTCCGGGCGCGCTATTCAACGCTTCGTTAACAACGAAACTGAAAATGGCTCTAGATTTGTAATTTAGATAAAGACAAGTTAAATTTCAAATAAAAACAAAAGATTTCGAAGTAAAATAAGCATTTTAGTTAAAATTAAAAATTTCTCTACCTGCAGCGGAGTATAATGTTGTGGCAGGCCTTTGTTCAAACGCTCATAGCAAATGTTGTGATAGGGATAGAGACATGCGATTTTTGGTTTTACAAAGATAATACGATAGAGAATAATACAAAGTAATAAAAACAANAAACGCAATTTAAGTATGTACGTAATTTACTACTTCTAAGACATCCATGAAGCATTTTCGTGCACAAGGAAAATCTTACACAGATAAATTGACATTAGGTCGCAGAGAAAAGTCGTAGCACTCTCAGGTAAATAAATCTTTCTATGTATTACCCATTTTAAATACACGCCACTATAAAATATGAAAGTAATAAAGCACCGATAACGTTCACTTATAGCTAACTGTACAAATTAAGTAATTGACGGGGGAACAGATCGAGCCCGTACGCGAGGGCACAGCAGGCTTGCAATTACACACGAGTCCAGCCGAAGCAGGGTTGGCTATGGACGACAGAACTAAACTTATGTAATAGCCATTCTCTTTCTTTCTGTCATAAGTTAATAAAATACCATCGTCATTAAAGGGGAATATATTGAGCTTTTCCAAAACACCTGTATGTGGTTTGGACGGACACTAAATAGTTGAACTATTCGAAACTAGTTTCAACACAAGGCTTGAATTTCAGTTTACAACCGACTGTAGTATTAACGGGCGTCGCTTTACCATCAGAAGTATGAAATTATGGGTTTCCCATAAAACTTTCACTCCTCTCTCTTTCTGCATCTAATTTTCTTAAGCTCAATATATTTCTTTACCAATTTATTACTATTAATTGTTTTTATGAATTAGTAAATTTTTCGGTTAACAGCATCTTAAATCCTATGTTACAGGCAGTTACAAATTACTATTCTACAGGCACAACCTGTGATTGGTTTAATTTCAATATATTTGGACTAATCACAACCTGTTCTTGAATGCAGATTCATTTAGACTCTACATTTCTAATCATTTGCTTGACCGTGACCACTGTGTCCAAGGATGCGATCACATATCCACATGGTATGGTAACCATATGGTAGAGCCATGATAGTTGAACTTGCAGCGCTCGCGTGCGGCGTCAGAGATTAATATTGCAGCAATGCCACTGCCAGCAGCCAAAGCACACATCGTTTGCAGCACGAAGCGACCGCACTCGTGTGCCATGACCGCAGCTTTAGGACAAAGGGCACATTGATTTATGTACCTATCACAAAATTGGGTGGTACAAAAATATGCTTTAAAACCCATAAGTAGAGTGTTGACTTCCCTGTAGGTACAACGTCGTCTATCAAAGCACCTTCAATATGTAGGATATTGAAATGATTGTAAAGGATATTTATAGTACAACCTAAGTCTTATTTTGATAGAATAGTAAAGGATAGTACAATATTGTATATTTTTAATGTGCCAATAATTAACATCATGTGGGCGCGCTTTCGATATTACGAGTATAGCCTGAAATCAATAATCGACGATTCTTAATCTACCGTGGGATGTTACGATTAACAAGAGCTTACTGTAGTATTTTTGTCCATAAAGTAATAAATAACTACTGTAAAAAAAATAAGTAGGTAATATTGTAACTTCGTAACGTCTCGTAGCACGTAGTCTCGGAGTACAACCTTTGCGGTCAACAATTTTTCATAGAGAAAAACTAAAAAAATGATAATTGAATTAGGCATTTAGTTTTTAAAAACATTTTACCACTATAGTGGCACCCCTATGCGTTCGCGTGTGCCCTCCTGCCTGACAGATGTGGAACTAGTGACCAGGGTCACCAGGTGACCAGGTGAATATTGCTGGAACTATCAAAGAAATATTTTGTAGCTGACAATAACACAGTTGAAATATTGTTCCTTTTAACAATTTTTCAAAACAAGGCAATTTCAAGCAGGCAGGCAGCAAGTTTTAAGTGTCAAGTAATGTGCATCACTCTATTTTAGTCTAGACCTAGAGTATGCTTGATTAGATGAAAAACAAATTTTAGTAAAAACAACTTGACTTTGCTATTATTAGCTTGCTTTCTTCGAAAGACATGACTGTCTCTACATTAGTTATATTAACTTAATCCTTAGATGTAACTATAATATTGATTTCTGAGATTAAACCCCCATCTACACGGGCGAAGTCGCGGGTACAAGTTAGTTTTGTTAATTTTGAACTACCCCATACATTAAACTGTCATGGTGACCCTAGTTGCGTGCCGGCGCGCGTTTCAATATTGTAATGAGCGCTTTGTGTGGCCAACACCGCGATTACTCCAAAGGGCGACTGCTTACTTCACTTGACGAGGCCAATTAAATACTAACTAACAATGCTAAGTGCTTTTAGTTCAGTTTTAGGTATGGATTATTCAATTTTAAAGTTGTCATCAATACCTAACCTGAAGTGAAACTGAAATCCGATGTTTTTCTAACTGAAAATACTGAATTTCTGAACTATGTCGCAGCTGTAGTCTGATAAATTAAATATTAACTAATTTTATTCTAAAGCCTTCTGAAAGCCCTCGCAGCTACGTCAAGTGTGGTTAAGGGCGACGATTACCCGCAACAGTAACTAACTCATTTGGCCTATTTTTAAAAACCCATGGGTATCGCGTGATGTTCACGTTTCGACGTAAACGTCACCGTATGAGGTTGAGCACCTATCTAATTTTACATTTCATCGTACTTATATCAGCATGACGCATCTTTCGAGCGATTGGTACAAAGTGCAAAACCGGAATTTTCCTCAAAACTAACGTTAACATTTTATTATCTTCTCGGAATCATACTGCACGTAGAGCTTCCGGAATTTTCATGTAAACACAACAAAGTGTTTTGTAAACAAACTCGCCATTCTAGTTTGATCAAAACACCTATCATTCGTACTCTTTTCAGTTTAATTGCAATTTTTTTTTCGAATAATATTAATTTGTTCGAAAAAAAATAACAGTATTGTTATTTTTAACTAACTCATTCAACTTGAATAAAAACTTTTAAAAGTTCTTCTTACTTTTCGATAATATCATAAAACGATCTCAGATAAAAAAACATCAGCTCTACATTCGAAATAATGACTCAACAAACACAATAACCACCCCCATAGTTGTGTAAAACGGCCTCTGCAATTACGTGTGTGCTCGTGCCTCGTTGGCAGTGTTTGTGCAGTCTACAATTTCTACAACTTCCCCGTTTGATAGCAATGCTAATGGTTCAATTTTTATTTGGAAATTTAGATTTTCCATCCTGTGACGGTATATCATCATCTTGCGTCTCTTACCTCCAATCTTTTGCGGCATCATTAGGTATAAGCCATCCAAATTAGATATGTAAGTTAATGCTTGGTGATTCAAGGACTAAAGAACCGCCTCAAAGCACTATCGCCCGCCTTTTTAATCCAGCAACTGCCAACTTTTTATTGAGGTCGTCGGTCCATCGAGCAGTGGGGTGTCTCCACTGTATTCTTTTATCCCCAACAAGGTAGCTCTTGGCCTGTATCTCACCTGATGAAAAGTGATGATGAGGATGAAGGTGGAAGCGAGCCTCACGTGGAAAAGTGATGATGAGGCCCAAGTCGAAGATGGAAGCGAGACTCACTCGGAATCCTCAACCATAGAGGAACTCTATTCTAGAATCCGAGTAGTCGGTTTTGCGACATGTTAATCGAACTTCCAATGCATCTAAACTACATCTCCTTGACTGAAACAATGTAATAATTTACTGTGTAAACTTTTTAAACTTCTAGTTTGCTAATAATGTATTGTTTTTGTTTGCAGTGTGCAACTTTATAGTTCACGAGCGATGCGTGGGGCAGGTGGTAACGCCGTGCTGCGGGGTGGCGCCGAGCCTAATCAAGGTAATTATCATTATTAATACCATATCTATTAAGTGTTATTATTTAATAATTCGTGGTAGAAAATAAGTACCACTTTAACCACCACTTTAACGTTGAAACTGGACCTGGACCCACGTCAGATCACTGGTAAACAGAGTCCTTCGGGATTGAATACTTTCTTTTCTTAAAATCTTTTCGTATTCAGACCCAGACCACATTCAAAATGTCAAAAATGTGGTGAACTCCTTCGAAGGTTAATTTTAAAAATTGTTGCTTATGGTAATTTTAAACTTTTAAGTAATACTAGCGGCCGCCCGCGACTTCGTACGCGAGGATCCCGTTTTACCCCCTTCATCTATCTTACGCGGTTTAGNAAAAACAACCTGTTATAGGGGCATTTTTTGGAGAAATTTGTCAAATAACTAAAAAAAACACGAATTTAAAAGCAGATTTTTTTCAAAAAGTATCATTTTTTATTATTTGTTGGCCTTTTTTGTGTATTTTGTGTATTTTTTTAGTATCGCCTGTTATTTAGCATTATTACTGTTTTTATTTTATCAGGATATACCGCTTAGTTTAAAAGTTATTACGTTTTCTTTACAATAAGTAATTGGAAGAAAAAAAATTCTATAAAAAAATTTAAAAAAATCTCAAAAAATTTTTGACCTCTTTTTTGTCGATAAAAATAGGTCTAGTTTCATCTATTTTCATATGTACACTTTAACGTGACTCACACTGTATTAACTTAATCCTTAGATGTAACAAAAATATTAATTTCTGAGATTAGACCCCCATCTACACGGGCGAAGTCGCGGGTACAAGTTAGTTTTGTTAATTTTCAACTACCCCATACATTATACTGTCATGGTGACCCTAGTTGCGTGCCGGCGCGCGTTTCAATATTGTAATGAGCGCTTTGTGTGGCCAACACCGCGATTACTCCAAAGGGCGACTGCTTACTTCACTTGACGAGGCCAATTAAATACTAACTAACAATGCTAAGTGCTTTTAGTTCAGTTTTAGGTATGGATTATTCAATTTCAAAGTTGTCATCAATACCTACCTTGAAGTGAAACTGAAATCCGATATTTTTCTAACTGAAAACACCGAATTACTGAAAATATGTCACAGGTGTAGTCTGTTAATTAAATATTAACTAATTTTATTCTAAAGCCTTCTGAAAGCCCTCGCAGCTACGTCAAGTGTGGTTAAGGGCGACGATTACCCACAAAAGTACCTAACTCATTTGGCCTATTTTTAAAAACCCATGGGTATCGCGTGATGTTCACGTTTCGACGTAAACGTCACCGTATGAGGTTGAGCACCTATCTAATTTTACATTTCATCGTACTTATATCAGCATGACGCATCTTTCGAGCGATTGGTACAAAGTGCAAAACCGGAATTTTCCTCAAAACTAACGTTAACATTTTATTATCTTCTCGGAATCATACTGCACGTAGAGCTTCCGGAATTTTCATGTAAACACAACAAAATGTTTCGTAAACAAACTCACCATTCTAGTTTGATCAAAACACCTATCATTCGTACTGTGTTCAGTTTAATTGCAATTTTTTTTTTTCGAATTGTAATTTGTTCGAAAAAAAATTACAGCCTTGTTATTTTTAACTAACCCATTCAACTTGAATAAAAACTTTTAAAAGTTCTTCTTACTTTTCGATAATATCATAAACGATCGCAGATAAAAAAACATCAGCTCTACATTCGAAATAATGACTCAACAAACACAATAACCACCCCCATAGTTGTATGAAGCGGCCTCTGCAATTACGTGTGTGCTCGTGCCTCGTTGGCAGTGTTTGTGCAGTCTACAATTTCTACAACTTCCCCGTTTGATAGCAATGCTAATGGTTCAATTTTTATTTAGATTTTCCATCCCGTGACGGTATACCATCATCTTGCGTCTCTTACCTCCAGTCTTTTGAGGCATCATTAGGTATAAGCCATCAAAATTAGATATGTAAGTTAATGCTTGGTAATTCAAGGACTAAAGAACCGCCTCAAAGCACTATCGCCCGCCTTTTTAATCCAGCAACTGCCAACTTTTTATTGAGGTCGTCGGTCCATCGAGCAGTGGGGTTTCTCCACTGTATTCTTTTATCCACAACAAGGTAGCTCTTGGCCTGTATCTCAGCTGACGAAAAGTGATGATGAGGATGAAGGTGAAAGCGAGCTTCACTCGGAATCCTCAACCATAGAGGAACTCTATTCCAAAACCCGTTTTGTCGGTTCTGCGACATGTTAATCGAACTTCCAATGCATCAAAACTATATCTCCTTGACTAAAACGGAGTTATAATTATAGCCACAATAGCCGAATGGTGAAGTGGTCGGAGTGGCCGACTCGAGATCCGAGGAACGCGGGTTCGAATCCCACCGCCGCTCGACTATTGTGGTGAGCCCACTCGTAACACAAGCTTATTTAGCTTAACACGAGGGGCTAATCGGACTATTAGTATTTTTTTTATAGTTAGTTGCAGTTTGCTAATGGTGTATTGTTTTTGTTTGCAGTGTGCAACTTTATAGTTCACGAGCGATGCGTGGGGCAGGTGGTAACGCCGTGCTGCGGGGTGGCGCCGAGCCTAATCAAGGTAAAAAAAATACATTTAATAATACATCAATGAAGTATTATTAGTATTTAATAATTCGTGGTAGAAAATAACTTTAACCACCACTTTAACATTGAAACTGGACCTTTAACGCCCACCCCAGATCAGTGGTAAACAGAGTCCTTTGGGATTTAATAATTTCTTAATCTTTTCGTATTCACAGACCACATTCAAAATGTCAAAAATGTGGTGAACTCCTTCCAAGGTTAATTTTAAAAATGGTTGCTTATGGTAATTTAAAACTTTTTAGTGATATGAACTAGAGTTTCTGATATTAGGAATTGATTCGGAAAATGCAGAAATTCTAAAGAATTTCATGTTTCCTTCATTGTCTTTAGGACATTGCAGCAGTTTTCACGGTTGTTTTTTGTTCTAGAACCCAGTAGCTCACTGCTGGTCGGAGCCGACACACCACAAGCGGAAGTTCTGCACGGTGTGCCGAAAGCGGCTCGATGAACTGCCAGCTTTACACTGCATGAGTAAGTTCTCAATTTCTTAGATATAGACCAAGCTGTTCTTGGAACATATTCTTTTTTGATTTCGTCTCATTTTTGCAGTAAACTTTGGAAGCATAATTTTTCAATGTTTTCTTTTGTTTCGGTTTGGACAGAGAGGCAACTGCAAGTCAGGGTATTCTTTTCAATTTCCGTAATGAAGTAGCATAGTAGGTACACCAGTTAGTTAAAGCTACATTTGTGATATTTACAACCAATAAATGTTGTGCGAAGAAGTATTTTTGCCAGATGTTATCATTTATCTTGTAAGAGCTAGATACTCGTAAGCTAGTTCAACTGAACTGCTGTACTGTCTTGTAACTCAACATAATCCATTCCAGTATGCGAGTACTATGTCCACGGCGAATGTGTGGACTTCGCGGCGGCCGACTGCAAGGAGAACGCGACGTACTGCGCCGGCAGCGAGCCGCGCCACGTGCACCACTGGCGCGAGGGCAACCTGCCGGCCAACAGCAAGTGCGCCGCCTGCCGCCGCGCCTGCTGGTCCGCCGAGTGCCTGACGGGCTACCGCTGCGAGTGGTGCGGCAGCACGGTGAGCCCCGCCCCAGTGACCCCCTGCCCGCCACAGCAAGTGCGCCGCCTGCCGCCGCGCCTGCTGGTCCGCCGAGTGCCTGACGGGCTACCGCTGCGAGTGGTGCGGCAGCACGGTGAGCCCCTTAGCGGCCACAGCGAGTGGCAGCAACCAAAAGAGTGGCAGAAACAATAAGTGTCTCCTCAAGCCTTCTTGTCTGCCAATTGCCTCACCGGTTTCCGATGCCAATGTCAAGTGTACGATTGCTGGACTTAAGGCACGACTAGTGCGGCAGCACAGTGAGTATTCATTACCAAAGATGCGCTATTGACCCAGTAACACGGAGCAACTACCGGCCAACAGCAAGCACGTTTGCTGGAGCACCGCTACCGAAGCAAATAGCAATATGCCGTCTGGTGGTCTGCAGAGTACCCGAACTGGTTATCATATTCACACTAGCGACAGTTGAATGTAGTTTAGATGGCAAAGGACTAGAACCTTTATATAAGATGTTGATGCTTGATCTTAGGAAAAATATTAATCTTCTTTTTTGTGGCAGTGTCACGCTGGCTGCCGCGCACTCATACCGGAAGAATGCAACTTCGGGATGCTGCAGCCCATCTTCCTGCCGCCGTCCGCGGTGTCCATCCCGCGCACCGAGGTGCCCATGGAGGCCATCATCGGCGTGCACGTGCGGCCGCCGCCCTCGCAGCGCGACTTCGGCTGCCGTGAGTGTCGCCTCCACAGCCCGCCGCAGCTTGCGACATGTGCCACGCAATTCGCGGGCTTGTAGCCGCTTGTAGCATCACCGCCCTGCTCCCGAACGACCAGGCACTTCCGAACTCAAAATCTTTCGACTCCACATCAAGTAGCCCATTTTTCTTAGCTTCGTTTTCTTAGCTACCGTAGTTAGTTAGCTCGTTTCGGGAGCGGGTCAGGCGGGTCGAATCGCGCGGCACATGCGTTTTCCGTGTCTCGCGGCGGAGTGTGAGCGGTGTCTTTGGGCAGCGCGCGCGCGCCGCGGCTCGGGCGCGGGCTGGGCGCCGGCGCGGCTGGTGACGCTGGCGCGGCGCCTGCTGCCGGCCGCCTGCTCGCCCCACGGCGGCGCCTCGCCCCCCTACCCCAGAGGTACCCCCCCCCCCACGCCCGCCCCGTAGCATGACCCCTCAGCTCAACTACCGCAGCGTTAAAAGGACACTAAATTATACTAAACCTACTTATTTAGCCGCTTTAAATATATTACACTAAAGACGATTTAAATCCATAGTTAGATCGTAGTTCTGCTGAGACTAGCTGTTTTGAGAGCTTTCGCTGTATGCTTATTATGACACACCTACCACGCACAGCATTCTTGCTTCGATTCGGCATACTGTAACTACATACTTTTATTTATATGTTTGTCATATAAGTAATACGTGCAGCGAGTGTTATCCAAACGTCCCCGTGTCCCCTGAAACTGTGCGTGCATGGCAACAAACTGCGCTTCTTATTTAACACCTTGTTTTCTACACTTATTATTTTATTGTTATTTATTTGTGACAATATCTATTTGCACACCTCATTACTAAACAACTTTACAAAAACTTCTCCGGACTCTACACGTTTTTTCGATTCAACACTGTTCGATTCTACCTTGACTTTTGTATATACGTGTAAAATTACAAGATGATGATAATGCATACTACATAATGATTTGAATCAAATATGAACACGTTAATCATTTACCATAAAGTGCATAGCCAACAATTACTAAATTGAGTATTTCATTAAAGAAGTCAGAAATATGGATCTTGAAGCACAGAAGTTCCTCGCTCAAGCTAGAGGAGATGTCAAGTTCCAAGACCATAAGAACTATAGTATTTTGTTATTCAAAACATACATGTCAACGCCCAACAATACCCAATAGACTAAGAGCTAGTGAACGCCAGACTTACGTCATTTTATAAAAGCTGAAAGTTTGTCAGCGTATGCTCCCAATATAGGATATAATGTTGATGAATTATGAAGTTTGGGTCGTGGTGGCTTTGGGAGCTACCCTAAAAAAACTGTCTGGCAAGGAGTTGGAACTGTCAAAACTGTCTGGCTGTTGGGGAAAATACTTCTAATTATTGCCCAAATATTATACATAAAAATCAGATTTAATGGTATAACATTGGTAGAATTACAGTCTATTGAATATACAGAAAAAGCCACAGTAAAAGTTAGATTTACGTTACACTATAAAATCTGATTTTTATGTATAATACTTGGGCAATTACTAGAAGTATTTTCCCCAACAGCCAGACAGTTTTGACAGTTCCAACTCCTTGCCAGACAGTTTTTTTAGGGTAGCTCCCAAAGCCACCACGACCCAAACTCCATAATTTACCAACATTATATCCTATATTGAGAGCATACGCTAACAAACTTTCAGCTTTTATAAAATGACGTAGGTCTGGCGTTCACTAGCTCTTAGTCTACAAGATTTTAATGACTACTTGTACCTAATATCCCTCAAAAACAAATCTTGTAGTTTTATAAACCTCTTCCCTATCTCACTTAACGTCACCTGACGCCGACGCCCAAGAGCGCTCATGAGGAGCGTTCCACCGGCAAAAAGGTAAACTTACTGCCCCACACGATCCACCAATATAACATATTATTCATATTAACGCCGTCGCTGCAAGCACTGTGGCTATTTTGTTAACTCTAGTTTTGTACTTAACCCTTTCTCTGTCCAGTAAAAATGGCGTCAAAATGCAAATTCACCCGATTTTTTTTTCAGAAATAAATTTATAAGAGACTCTTATGCCAGACATGGAGTTACTTAAGCTTGATTATTTATGGTGCTTGCTATAAACAGCGCAGTTTTCATGAAATTTTCTTGGACGGAGAAGGTGTTAAGAATGCCGTATCAACAGACGTAGTCCACTTTGGAACAATCGTTCATGTAGTTGGGCTATATGTGCTGCTAGTTCAAATGTCTCTGAAACTGCTGTACCCGAGACATTACTATTAGTGTGTTTTTGTAAGTTCACGATTATTTTGCAAAATGTCGTGCTACTTGTGTTACAACGTAGAGATTGTGGGTGAATTAGATTGGTGTAGAGAGGGACTAACATGCTTTGGAATTTGAAAAGACTGGACGTTCTGAAGAGGCTATTTCATTACCAATTCAGGAAAAAAGTTTTGTGTCATATTAATTTATATAAATATCCACTCGCCAATTCTTCAACTAGCTTTTTCAGAACGTCAACTCATAGGTTTTTGTTTCCCAAAAAAGTTTCATAAGACGATCTTTTTTTATCTCACTGTTAAATACAGTTTAGTAATCGCATGAAAATAGTGGCGATTACCGTACATTAGTAATTTCACTTGAATTTACAAATGATACTGAAACGAATGATGAAATATCATCGACGTAAGTTCTATGTATGAAAAAATTGCCTATTACCAAATTGAAAAGGCATCAAAGATCGTCTGCAAAACAAAAATGATGAAACTAACTAAAATGTAAGCCAACCTTTAGAGTAGGCAAAGAGTTGCAGTTAGCGCGGGGTTGGGGGGGCGAATGTGAGCGATCCGCGGTGTTGCAGCGCGCAGCGTCAGCGAGGAGTTCAGCTCGGGCTGCGAGGGCCGCTCGGGCTCCGGCGGCGGCTCCACGGGCGCGCCCGCCGACCAGGACCACAAGCCCGACCACAAGCAGCACAGGGACCGCACTCCTGACGACAGGGACGAAGGTACGTAACGTTTACATAACAAATTATAACAAATATCATTGATTTTTGAAGTCCCAAGTTGCAAACTAAAATGTTATTTATCTCTATTAGTTATAAAATAATTATAAAATCATTGGCTTAACTTCATTAGTATACTTAGAATAAAATTCAGCCCAGGTCCCCATTTATTAAAACCAGAGTAAATACAAATGAGTAGGTCATCTTCATAGAAACGCACCGAGCGCGGTTTGTATGTGAGCGCGCCAATACGTATGCGGCGCGCACGCACACACTGACAAAATTCGGGCCGAATTTATGTTTATGTTCATTTGTATTTACTCTGTTAAACTTACAAGTCTACTATTACAATTTAAATACGTACGAGACCTGCAACTTTTAAATAGCCTGGCATATTGAAAAACATCATTTTTCTCTTTCTTTGAGCAGCGTATAATAAAAAAACGAAAAGTCAAAAGAAGCAATCGAGAATCCGAATGTTTCCAACAGAAGTAGTGAAGGTGTACGACGGCGAGGCGGCGTGGTCGCGCCGGTTGTACCGGCCGGTGGTGGTGGGTCGCAACTGGAACGAGCGCGAGCTGGTCTCGGCGGCTCTGCGGGCCTTCCACGTGGTCCGCGACCCGGACCTCTTCGAACTCACGGACGCTCTGGCGGGCGACGAACCCCCCTTGAAAGACCCCACGCCTCTGGCCAGGGTCACCAGGCTGCCAAACAAGCGGCCGGCGCTGTTTTTGCGCTTCAAGTGAGTACCGTTTTCTTTTGCAACCAACAATCTCAAGACAAAAATAATGTGACTGAGTGAAGGAGCTTGACCAACAAGCTTCTGAAAAGAACTGTGAAAAAACCTAGAATTTATTTCATACATCGTGACTCATGTTAATCTTAGCTTACAATACGAGAAGATCATTCCTGTTTTACAATCTTGATTATTTCACGCTAAAGACAGACACAGAATACTCTTTTTTAGCTTTGATTGTGAGAGTAACCAACTTAAACACAATCAGTCCATCTTGGCTCTCGCCAAAACAGTTCCTGCAGCCAGGATTTCCACATTTTAAACATGTTTTCACCAAACCCACAGGACGCGTTTAAAACAGAAGCAAACAACTCATTAATCCAAGCACCGTTTCCAGGGAACCAGAGACGGGAGGCGGAGAGGTCCGGGTGTACCCGGGGCGCATCGCGGGCGCGGGAGACACCTTTGTGACGGTGGTCTGCCGCGGCGACGACGCCGTCACCGACCTCATGGCCGCGGCGCTCGAGCGCTTCGGCCTGGACCCCACCACCGCCGCCAACGACTTCCGCTGCTCGGAGATCCTGCTCGATAGGGGCGGTGAGTTGCTTCCATCCTAATAGATGTGAACTTACTAACTTACCTGCGTCACTATAGCAGACGATGCGAAGAAAATCGGCAAGACCTGGAGCGAGATCGAAAGTGAAGCTCAAGACCGAACGCGATGCAGGACTGTTGTGGACGCCCTCTGCCCCATCTAGGGGGCATAGCCCCTAAAGTCAAGTCACACCTTCGTCACGATGGTCTGCCGCGGCGACGACGCCAGCGATCTCTAGTACTACCTATCAAAGAAGCCCATGATAACGATTATATTCATTAATTAACGGCGATTTCCAGCAGTACAGCAGTGGCTTTAATGATCTGTTTAATCATAAGACTTTCAATATTTTTACTATAATATAAAGTACATACTTTATTCATGCTCCACTTAGTGCAATAAATAAATAAATAAATAAATTGCCCGATAAGAATCACCATAGCTTATGTTGCATAATTTTTTATAAGTCAAAAAAAGTCAAAATTTCTTTATTTGTTTAGACTAATAAATAGTTCTTACAAATCGTCATTTTGCTCTTAAGGAGCCTCTACATGTCTCATAATCTTTTTACCCTACCTTTTTGACAGTCAAATAACCTGTTCAGATAGAGATTTTCCCAAGTCCTGAAATAATTTCCGGACATTGAACACTACTAAGAAATGATATCCATTTTAGTAATTTCGACTGTATCCATCCAGTGTCAGAACGAGTACTCGAAGAAGACGAGCGACCGTGGCGGATCGTGGTGCGGCTGGCACGGGAGTCGGTCCGGCGCATGGAGCTGGCCCGCTTCTACCTGCAGCCGCGGCGCGACCCGCACGGGCCCACGCTCGCGCTCTTCGTGGCCTCGCTGCCACCCGGCCTGTCGGAGAGGAACTACGAGAACATCTTGGTGGAGTTCCTAGGCACCGGTGAGTTAGAACAGGGAACATTTACATCTGTTATCAACAAGCCCAGTAATATCGAGTCAACGGGCTATGATCCACCACTCCTCCGCCTCACCCAGTCTCTTCGTAGAGTCGCTGTAGCATGGTCTGTCGGAGAGGAACGTCGAGAACATCTTGGTGGAGTTCCTAGGCACCGGTGAGTGAGACTATTTACATCCTCCGTTGACCCGTCTAGGCATTGCGCTGCGGCAAGATCGAGTCATCAAATAGATGGAATATAAACCCACACTTCCTCTGCCTGACCCAGTCTCTTCGTGGCCTCGCTGCCGCCGGGCCTGTCGGAGAGGAACTACGAGAACATCTTGGTGGAGTTCCTAGGCACCGGTGAGTGAGACTATTTACATCATCCGTTAACCCGTCTAGGCATTGTGCTGCGGCAAGATCGAGTCATCAAATAGATGGAATATAGGTAAACCCACACTTCCTCTGCCTGACCTAGTCTTTTTGTGGCCTCGCTGCCGCCGGGCCTGTCGGAGAGGAACTACGAGAACATCTTGGTGGAGTTCCTAGGCACCGGTGAGTGAATCGGAGAGGAACTACGAGAACATCTTGGTGGAGTTCCTAGGCACCGGTGAGTGGAGAATAGGAAACACTTACATTGTTACCTAGAGGCGCAGCAATATCGAGTCAACGGGCTTGGCTTTATTTGCGGCCGCGCTATGATCCACCACTCCTTCGCCTGACCCAGTCTCTTCGTAGAGTCGCTGTAGCATGGTCTGTCAGAGAGGAACTACGAGAACATCTTGGTGGAGTTCCTAGGCACCGGTGAGTGAGACTATTTACATCCTCCGCTAACCCGTCTAGGCATTGCGCTGCGGCAAGATCGAGTCATCAAATAGATGGAATATAAACCCACACTTCCACTGCCCGACCTAGTCTCTTCGTGGCCTCGCTGCCGCCGGGCCTGTCGGAGAGGAACTACGAGAACATCTTTGTGGAGTTCCTAGGCACCGGTGAGTGGAGAATAGGAAACACTTACATTGTTACCTAGAGGCGCAGCAATATCGAGTCAACGGGCTTGGTTGGCTTTATTTGCGGACGCGCTATGATCCACCAGCCCTCCGCCTGATCCAGGCTCTTCGTGGCCTCGCTGCCGCCGGGCCTGTCGGAGAGGAACTACGAGAACATCTTGGTGGAGTTCCTAGGCACCGGTGAGTGGAGAACAGGGAACATTTACATCTGTTATCAACAAGCCCAGTAATATCGAGTCAACGGGCTATGATCCACCACTCCTCCGCCTGACCCAGTCTCTTCGTGGCTTCGCTGCCGCCGGGCCTATCGGAGAGGAACTACGAGAACATCTTGGTGGAGTTTCTAGGCACCGGTGAGTGGAGAATAGGAAACACTTACATTGTTACCTAGAGGCGCAGCAATATCGAGTCAACGGGCTTGGCTTTATTTGCGGCCGCGCTATGATCCACCAGTCCTCGGCCTGACCCAGTCTTTTCGTGGCCTCGCTGCCGCCGGGCCTGTCGGAGAGGAACTACGAGAACATCTTGGTGGAGTTCCTAGGCACCGGTGAGTGATCATGGAACATTTACATCTGATATCAACAAGCCCAGTAATATCGAGTCAACGGGCTATGATCCACCAGTCCTCCGCCTGACCCAGTCTCTTTGTGGCCTCGCTGCCGCCGGGCCTGTCGGAAAGGAACTACGAGAACATCTTGGTGGAGTTCCTAGGCACCGGTGAGTGATCATGGAACATTTACATCTGATATCAACAAGCCCAGTAATATCGAGTCAACGGGCTATGATCCACCAGTCCTCCGCCTGACCCAGTCTCTTTGTGGCCTCGCTGCCGCCGGGCCTGTCGGAAAGGAACTACGAGAACATCTTGGTGGAGTTCCTAGGCACCGGTGAGTGATCATGGAACATTTACATCTGATATCAACAAGCCCAGTAATATCGAGTCAACGGGCTATGATCCACCAGTCCTCCGCCTGACCCAGTCTCTTTGTGGCCTCGCTGCCGCCGGGCCTGTCGGAAAGGAACTACGAGAACATCTTGGTGGAGTTCCTAGGCACCGGTGAGTGATCATGGAACATTTACATCTGATATCAACAAGCCCAGTAATATCGAGTCAACGGGCTATGATCCACCAGTCCTCCGCCTGACCCAGTCTCTTCGTGGCCTCGCTGCCGCCGGGCCTGTCGGAGAGGAACTACGAGAACATCTTGGTGGAGTTCCTAGGCACCGGTGAGTGATCATGGAACATTTACATCTGATATCAACAAGCCCAGTAATATCGAGTCAACGGGCTATGATCCACCAGTCCTCCGCCTGACCCAGTCTCTTCGTGGCCTCGCTGCCGCCGGGCCTGTCGGAGAGGAACTACGAGAACATCTTGGTGGAGTTCCTAGGCACCGGTGAGTGAGACTATTTACATCCTCCGTTGACCCGTCTAGGCATTGTGCTGCGGCAAGATCGAGTCATCAAATAGACATACTTCCTCCGCCTGATCCCCAGTCTTATCGTGGCCTCGCTGCCGCTGGGCCTGTCGGAGAGGAACTACGAGAACATCTTGGTGGAGTTCCTAGGCACCGGTGAGTAGAGAATATATGTATGTTTTCCGTAGAGGAGCGTGAAAATCAAGTCATTAGACGGAACGAGCTTGATTTTAACTGCGGCCGCGCTATGATTTACTTTTCAATCGCCTAATCCTGTCTCCTTGTGCACGCTGTAACATGGCCTGTCGTAAAGGCACTACGAGAATATTTTGATAGAATTCATAGGTACACAGGGAGTATAGACTGCGGAATAATAATATCTATTGTCCTGTCCACGTTTGGGTATCGTAGGCCCGCTAGCATGAGTCATCAGACGTATGAAACCGGCTCGGTTAAAAATGGCGTAATGGCTGTATACTATGCCCTATTTCAACGAAGAAGAATCAGCATTGAGTTACTGTTTAGTGACCAGCTCTATGTCAATGTTGCAACCGCCGTTCATACCACCTCTCAACTCATATCGTTCATCAACATTCTCATACCTTTGCATTTACAAATTTTTCATTATTTTCTTCCATTTGTAACAGAAAACAAGTTCACATCAATCGGGCCGATTTACTACGAGTACGGGTCGATGGTGATAACATACGAGGACGCCAGTAAGGCGGTACGCGCGCTCTACGCGCTTAGAGAGGCCAAATATGAAGATAAGCATTTATTAGGTAAGTCTCAAGGTATTTCTTCTTTAATAGGTATAAATAACCAATTAACCATCAAATTACAACCAACTCTCAATGTCATGGCGTGATAAACCCAGAATATAAAAGCTCTAACGTAGCCTTATCTAGGTACAGTAAGAAAAGAACCACTGGTAATCATGAACAAACTGCAAATGCACAGGTGATAACTTTCAAATTAAAAGATTATTAACTTCATAGCAATCAAGACGCAAAAATCACTTTATTTGGTTCTTACCAAAGGAACCAAAGTGGCTATCACCACTAAGTACTTAAATATATTGTGTCATGCGCTAGGGTAGTTGTTGACAACAACGCCAACAACTCAGCATGATGATGCATTATTATGTTTAAGCTTTAGGTTAGAGTTCCTATTCTGTGGAAACTTTTTGGATAAAGATCGGCAACCATTCTGCATGTAACATGACTAATGTTCTAAGGTCTACCCTAGAATTTTGTCCCGAGTATTCTGTGGAGATTTGTCATTGATGGACAAAGAAATAATAAAGTGACTACTGACTCAAACATGGTGTGATTTCACACAGTGATGCTGCTACCAAGCATCGAGCCGTCAATGGTGCCGGCGGGCGTGAAGCCACTGCTGGTGTTCGTGAACGTCAAGTCCGGCGGCTGCCAAGGGCTGGAGCTCATCTCTTCCTTTAGAAAACTTCTTAACCCTTATCAAGTGTTCGACCTAGAGAATGGCGGCCCCCTTCCGGGGTAAGTACCAACCTCCATCTTTGCTCTAGTTTTCAGCAAACTACTTGGTAGAGCAAGACAAGTCAAATAATAACTTCTAATAATAAACAAAACAATCCAATACAATTAATGACTATGGTCTTCCTAATTTAAATAAATAAACATCTGAGTCCGAGCTTGAGGTATAAATATCCCCTGAACATTTGGTATGGGAGTGGTGACACATGACGGGACACAGCATGCAAGTCTGAAGCATAATCTGAAGTCTCACTGACGTTTGACGTCACAAAAACCCTCCTGTGCAGCTCCCATACCTCAGGTACTGACTCAATTTTATTATGCCCTAGCCCTGTAGTAAACAATTTGGGTAGTAAAAAAAGTCATAAATTTTTGCAAATAGGTGTTTAAAAAGACTTTACACGTCCCAGTATTAACCCTACCACTCCTTCTGGACAATAAATGGGCCAGTGCTGAAAAGAAGCAGCGCAAAAAACCCAGTCACTATTGTCAGCCTATATTACATTCTTCGCTTTAAGTGTGATCCATAACGTGTTGGTACAAAGTGGCCAAAAAGTTGACAACACAACCTAATTTCAATTGTAACAAAGACGTGATGGAATTTTTTTGGCTACCTGGGTGTCACGAAGTATTTAACGCTGACTCTACTTGGTGTCGCAGGCTGTACGTGTTTCGTCACATTCCCAACTACAAGATCCTGGTGTGCGGCGGCGACGGCACCATCGGCTGGGTGCTGCAGTGCCTCGACAACGTGGGCCAGGACTCGCAGTGCTCCAACCCGCCTTGTGCCATCGTTCCCCTCGGCACTGGTGAGTCACACAGCCTGATCTTTTGTTTAAGCAGGTGTTTGAACACAATCCAGTGGCGGATTTACAGTTTTGCCGCCCGTAGGCTAGGGTGGGGTTGGATTTGTTATTAGAAGTTTTTATTAGTAGATAAAAATTATTGTGTTTTGCAATTAAAAGTTAAAGCCTAACTTGTAATTGAGAGGGAGTGTTAGGATTATATTATCTTTGGAAGTGTATTAAATATTAAAAAGTTAACTGTTTCCGGTAGAACGCTCTTCCCTCTTCCGGCTATGTACGAACAAGATGTGTCTGTGTAAGAACCCGAATAATAAATGCTTATCTCGCTAACTATCGGTCTTTTCATTAAAGAAACACAAGTTCTGATATTTACATCATCCCTTAACCCGTCTAGGCATTGTGCTGCGGCAAGATCGAGTCATCAAATAGATGGAATATAAACCCACACTTCCTCTGCCCGACCTAGTCTCTTTGTGGCCTCGCTGCCGCCGGGCCTGTCGGAGAGGAACTACGAGAACATCTTGGTGGAGTTCCTAGGCACCGGTGAGTGGAGAACAGGGAACATTTACATCTGTTATCAACAAGCCCAGCAATATCGAGTCAACGGGCTTTATTTGCGGCCGCGCTATGATCCACCAGTTCTCCGCCTGACCCAGTCTCTTCGTGGCCTCGCTGCCGCCGGGCCTGTCGGAGAGGAACTACGAGAACATCTTGGTGGAGTTCCTAGGCACCGGTAAGTGTAGAACAACCGTTATAGAGCAGCGGCAAGATCTACCATCAAATGGATTTTACGGCAACGCTATGATCCTCCATCTCCGCCTGTTCCTGTCTCCTTATGGATGCTTTAGCATAAACAATTTGATAGACTAGGCGAGTGAATATGCAAAGAGGTGCATCAAGATCAAGTCATGATTCATTCCTTCTCCTCCTGAAATATCTAAACCTGAACGGATAGAATTAGCTCGGTTCTAGGCGTATTACTTAGCTATACAGCTAGCTAGCTAGCTTCAGAGTACACACTCTGAAGGAAGAGGACTCAATAGGAAAAATTACGCTATCTACGCGTACTATTATCACCAATAATATGTCTAGCTACCAACCGGGTAACATGGAAAGCATTGGGGATGGCCTATGTTCAGCAGTGGACGTCCAATGGCTGAGATGATGATATGTCTAGCTTCTACTAGCTAGCGTTCTGCTTCGTGACTAACACTAGGTAATAATCACGTCTCAAATCTCAATACATAAATCAAGATAGTCGTGTTAGGATACTCATAATATCGTACCATAATAAATTACATTATTTCCTTCCTTTTGTAACAGAAAACAAGTTCACATCAATCGGGCCGATTTACTACGAGTACGGGTCGATGGTGATAACATACGAGGACGCCAGTAAGGCGGTACGCGCGCTCTACGCGCTTAGAGAGGCCAAATATGAAGATAAGCATTTATTAGGTAAGTCCTAGCATATTTCTATGATCAATAGAACTAACCATCAAATGACAACCACCACTTAATATCATGGCGCGTTAAATCCAGGATAATATTTCTAAATCAGCCAGGGCCAGCGGAATTCATGAACAAACCGAAAGTAACTGAACAAAACTGAAAATAAATTTCAAAGTAAAAATTCATTTTCGATCTTGCAAACAAATACAATTTTCAAAATTGCCTTCAACTTGAAAAAAGTAAGAATATTGAATATTTCGTTCAAACGAAGACAGAATAAATAAGCATCCACTCGGCATGTGTCATGCATTCATGCTCTAAGGTAGAACCTAAAACATGACGCCTGTATCCAGTAAAACTTCTCATTGTTAGGCCCAGAACACACGGTGAAACGCAATTGCAACGAAACTGCAACGAAACTGCAACTTCTAGTTACTTTTGAGTTGCATCTAAGTTTCTGCCATAGATTCCGTTGAGAGACCACACATGACGCGACCAGTTTGAAACCGGTTTGAAATGGTCGCGTGATGTGTGGTCTCTCAACTCTCTCTCTCTCAAGTCCTTAGGTAAAGAATTCCAAGTTCAGAATATGCAAAATCACAAACATAGTCATAAGTATAGACTCAAATATGCTGTAATCTCGCGCAGTGATGCTGCTACGTCATCATAAGTATTGACTTAAACATGGTGTAATTGGCTTATTCCACTATTCCCCGTTGACAATCCCCGTCAACGGGGAATAGTGAACTTTTTGTTCACTAATTCCCGTTAACGCCAAATTGGAGCTTATAATGGGGAATAATGAACTAAAAAGTTCATTAATCCCCGTTATATTAGGATTTTATTTTAATAGTAATGGGGATTAATGAACTTTTTAGTTCATTATTCCCCATTATAAGCTCCAATTGGCGTTAACGGGAATTAGTGAACAAAAAGTCAACGGGGAATAGTGGAATAAGCCGTGTAATTTCACACAGTGATGCTGCTACCAAGCATCGAGCCGTCAATGGTGCCGGCGGGCGTGAAGCCACTGCTGGTGTTCGTGAACGTCAAGTCCGGCGGCTGCCAAGGGCTGGAGCTCATCTCTTCCTTTAGAAAACTTCTTAACCCTTATCAAGTGTTCGACCTAGAGAATGGCGGCCCCCTTCCGGGGTAAGTACCAACCTCCATCTTTGCTCTAGTTTTCAGCCATAAACTACTTGGTAGAGCAAGACAAGTCAAATAACAACTTCAAGTAATAAACAAATGAATAACAAATAAAATTAAATACAAAAACATAAATAGTCTAATGAGAAAGGAAAGTCAATATTACAGGTCTAGCGCATGAGTCTGGTCTTCCTAATATACATAAATAGATAAATAACTGAATCAGAGCCCGAGAGCGGCATGAGAGGGGTGGCGTATAACGTGACAGTACAAGTCTGAAGCACATCTGAAGCTGAAGTTTGACGTCATAAAAACACTTTTCTGTGCCGCTCCAACTTCTCAAGCACTGGCACTCAATTATGCCCTAGACCTGTAGTAGGTAAACAATTTGGGTAGTAAAAAAAGTCGTAAAAACTCATTTCTTTTTGCCATCAGGCTTTTAAAAAGCACATTTTCATGTCCCAATATTAACCCTACCACTGCTTCGGGACAATGATGGGCCAGTGCTGAAAAGAAGCAGCGCAAGATACTCAGTCACTATTGTCAGCCTATATTATTCTTCTCGCTTTATGTGTGATCCATAACGTGTTGGTACAAAGTGGCCAAAAAATTGACAACACAACCTAATTCCAATTGTAACAAAGACGTCATGGAATTTTTTTGGCTACCTGGGTGTCACGAAGTATTTAACGCTGACTCTACTTGGTGTCGCAGGCTGTACGTGTTTCGTCACATTCCCAACTACAAGATCCTGGTGTGCGGCGGCGACGGCACCATCGGCTGGGTGCTTCAGTGCCTCGACAACGTGGGCCAGGACTCGCAGTGCTCCAACCCGCCTTGTGCCATCGTTCCCCTCGGCACTGGTGAGTCACACAGCCTGGTCTTTGGTATTTGACCACAATCGCACTTGGTTTTATGGTGGTATATTTCTGCTCTGTAGGTAAGTGCCTATTCACTCTCGCCTTGAAAAGGCCCGGATTAGTGTTCGGGAAAAACAGCAGCAGGCAGCGAATCAGTCTCTAGCCGTTCGCATTATAAAAATACGACATGCGAATTATGGTCTATAATCACAGCTATAATATAGGTTTTTATATCGGACTACTTCGATCCCCTTCGACTGCTGAACTATGTGGTGAAACCACTAGTAACATAGTATTCCATCATGCAAGCAATCTTGCTTAGCTTAGTATTCTTGAAGGTTTTCTTCAATCCAAAAAAAACGTAGTTAGGTAGGGCGAATTGTACCTATGTGCTGAATCTACTTATCCTCTGGTAATAGCGAGGCCCAGTTAGATAGGGTTCTGTACGATTTAGGAGTTTTGTTTGAATCATTTTCGAATCTTAAGACAAGGCAATAAGATTCAAAATAACGTCCTGCTGTGGGGATAGCAGTTCTTGACATTTCTTCCGACTCAACATTAAATTGTCCATTTCATGTCCAGGCAACGACCTAGCGCGGGTTCTCCGCTGGGGCTCCGGCTACACCGGCTGCGAGGACCCGCTGTCGCTACTGCGTGACGTCATCGACGCGGAGGAGATCCGCCTGGACCGCTGGACCGTGGTCTTCCACCCAGAGGACAAGCAGGACGAGCCGAAAGAACTGTCGAAGCAACTGCCTGGTAAGGATGCCTTTGTCATCTATATGAATCATCTCTTAGGTTGTAACTTAGGTATAACAGCATTGAAATGTTTACACTATTCATAAAAGATGTCAAAACCTGTACGTTTCAAGTAACTCAATATTAATCATTGTCACCTACCAGTAGGTAAACCTAATATAGGTGAATAGGTTAGTTTCCTAAAAAAAATTTTTAGTCCGTCAATTTTGATATAAAAAAAATATTGAACACGTATATTTTGAATTGTCAATCAAACAAATAGTTACAAAGTTATAGTGCGTTGAAGTTCCGCGCGACGTCACAAAGTGCTGCACTTTTACGCACTCACTGACGTCACGGGCCTTTTCTTTAGAACTTTGGCACGCTTTATCTCTTTACATTTTCATTAGTTTTAAAAAGTGAAAAATACGTGTCGAGTAGTTTTTGATAAGCTAACTGACGGACTAATTAAAACTCTTGCTTTTTTACCCAGGAAACATCCCTATTGTAAGAAACAAGATTTTGTCCAAACTCACAATAATAAGTGAGTAATAATGTGAATGCATAATGCGAAAACGCTACTAGATATTTGACCAGTCAATCAATCAGAAAGAGAAGGAAAAATTGAGATAATTAGGGGACCTCATGAAATCCCATGACTTATCGTCCACAAACTACTACTCAAACATTAATCACTTCACTAGCTGTAAGGACAGTCGACAGCACATCAGAGTATACATTTATAGCCTGTATTACAATGGAATAAGACGCCACTGTGATTAGCCTGATGTGCTGTCTTCCGTACATAATAGAACTAGCCTAGATCACACGCCATCAGTCTGTATCCAGCCAGCCCATGCCATGCTCACTGGATGCGTGACGGTGCCTCACGTTGCGGCGTCTGTGACCACAGGCTTCTTAAATATTACATTTATTACAATCTCTAAACTTGTTTACCTCATACTTCTCAAACATTAATCCCTTTACTAGCTTCATTAGCTATAAGTAATGTAACTAGCCCTAGTCCACACACCATCAAAGTCAGTATCATCATTTCACTGGATACGTGACGGTGCCTCACGTTGCAGCCTCTGTGACCACAGGCTCGCTCGCACTACTTACTACTACTCAAAAATATTTATCACTTCACTAGCTCTAAGTAATATAACTAGCCTAGTTCACACACCATCAAAGTCAGTATCAGCCAGCCCATGCTCACTAGATGCGTGACGGTGCCTCACATTGCAGTGTCTGTAACCACAGGCTATTTGTAAATATTCCATTTGTCAAAAAAACCATTTATAAATTAACTTGTTTGCCTCATACTTCTCAAACATTAATCACTTTACTAGCTTCACTAAAGCCTGGTTAATATAATTACGCGCGAGCGATAAGGATGGGTAGCTTGGGGTCATTGGACAAAATTCTACGTGCTCACGGACCAGGCTTTAGCTATAAGTAGCCCTAGTCCACACGCCATCAAAGTCAGTATCATCATTTCACTGGATGCGTGACGGTGCCTCACGTTGCAGCGTCTGTGACCACAGGCTCGCACTACTTACTACTACTCAAACATTAATCATTTCAATAGCTATATGTAATATAACTAGCCTAGTTCACACGCCATCAAAGTCAGTATCATCATTTCACTGGATGCGTGACGGTGCCTCACGTTGCAGCCTCTGTGACCACAGGCTCGTACTACTTACTACTACTCAAACATTAATCACTTCACTAGCTCTAAGTAATATAACTAGCCTATAGTTCACACGCCATCAAAGCCCATGCTCACTGGATGCGTGACGGTGCCTCACGTTGCGGCGTCTGTGACCACAGGCTTCTTAAATATTCCATTTATTACAATCTCTAAACTTGTTTACCTCATACTTCTCAAACATTAATCCCTTTACTAGCTTCATTAGCTATAAGTAATATAACTAGCCCTAGTCCACACGCCATCAAAGTCAGTATCATCATTTCACTGGATGCGTGACGGTGCCTCACGTTGCAGCGTCTGTGACCACAGGCTCGCAGTCCGAGGACAACTCGCAGATCCTCGTCATGAACAACTACTTCGGCATCGGCATCGACGCGGACCTCTGTCTGGACTTCCACAACGCGAGGGAGGAGAACCCTAACAAGTTTAACAGCAGGTGAGCAACCATAAGATACCAAAAGAGAAAGAATATTAATTTCATTTATCTAGAAGCATCTTAGCTTTCGTGTTTGGTAACGCCCAGTAAAAAATAAAGAATCTAGACTAGACGAATATAAAAAATATAAGTACTTGACTTAAAAACCACTTAGGTACATCCTGTTTACCTAGGTCCTAGGTTATGCTACAGGGCTGACTACATCACATGCCAGTAATTCGTCACATTGCTGAAAGGGGCATTTGCCGAAACCCCCTAAACAATTTTAGAGATCTATCTAATATGACTTACAATATTAGTAGTGTTAAGCCACCACCAGCTGGTTTTTGAGCCAAATCAAATAGCTATAACAATACCTACACCTTAAACTCGATAGCCGTCAACTATGTGGTTGAGGATTCCGCGTAATTCCACTGTCCACCTTGTCTCTTTAAACACTCGACATTGGTGAAACCAGTGTGATTCAAATATGCACCATTGAAGCCATTAAACAGAATAATAATAAAGAAACTCGCCTCCACCTTTGGCCTGATCATCACTTTCCATCAGGTGAGATGTAGGTCACAGGCTTCCTCGTTGTGGATAAAAAAAATGTGGACATAAGAAAAGACTACAACGGAAATCATAATGATCTTCATACTTTGCCGGCAGAAAATGACATAACTACCAATAAAACAAGAAAGTGTTTTCACAAATTCTTGTCTAAACCTAACCCCGAACTACCTTCGCAGGTTGCGTAACAAGGGCGTGTACGTAAAGATGGGTTTACGCAAGATGGTGGGGCGGAAGATGTGCAAAGACCTGCACAAGGCGGTCAAGCTGGAGGTGGACGGGAAGCCGGTGGAGTTGCCGGCGGTGGAGGGAATCATTATTTTAAACATCCTAAGGTGAGATAATATAACGGACGACAGTAATAAAGAATCGCTCTAAAATTTGGCAATACCTATTAGGAAAGAAATAAAGAAGATAAAATATTCTGAAACTGACAATTCAAAGTCTCAACCGAACGTCATCCAGTACCTAAACTATAGGACTTGAAACCGACCACATTCTCTACGATATTCATAGCAGCGACTTTTGCTGGGCAACTTAATTTGACTGTGCATGTCGATGCATGAGCATGATGCGATGTTCCAAGAGTTAACTAATGTACACACGACAGCACATCAGGCTACCCATTTTTGTTGCATACTCGCCCATATTACAACTGCACAAAAACTCACAGTGGTTACCTTGACGTGCCGTCGTCTGTTCATTGTACATCCATGCTCTCTAAATTTATCTCAACTAAAGCAGTCAACAATCTTCATGACAGCATGACAGTAACTTAAACCTTATGCACGCCTTTCACAGCTGGGGGTCCGGCGCAAATCCATGGGGTCCAGAAAAGGACGACCAATTCAACAAGCCCAACCACTGGGACGGAATGCTGGAAGTGGTGGGCGTCACCGGGGTGGTACACCTCGGGCAGATCCAGTCGGGCCTCCGGGGAGCAATGAGAATAGCACAAGTATGTACTCTTGTAACTTTTTTATTATTAAAAAAATAAAATAATCATAATTAATAAATAAATATCCTTAGACATTTTACACTGCGCTTCTAGTCCCAAACTAAGCAAAGCTTGTACTATGGGTACTAGACTAGACAACGGATATAAACATACTTAAATACTTTTTTTTTGTAAATACATACTTATTATACATAGAAAACACCCAGTCCAATACAAACAAATATGTTCATGCACACAAATGTTTGTACTGTGCGGGAATCGAACCCGCTACCGCCGGAATAGTAGTCCGTTTCGAACCACTACACCAAACGGCCGACATTCCGATTGCGTTCCATTATAGCACAAAGCAGCTGTAAGTCCTCATGTATTACTACAAGGGTGGATAAAGCAGCTAACTCAATAATGGAAATTGCAGCTAAAGCCCGGTCCGTGAGCACGTAGAATTTTGTCCAATGACCTCTAGCTACCCACCCTTATCACTCGCGCGTAATTATATTGCTGTCGCGACTGTGCGAGCGCGATAGCAACATAATTACGCGCGAGCGATAAAGATTGGTAGCTTGGGGTCATTGGACAAAATTCTACGTGCTCACGGACCAGACTATAGAATGACCCACAAGCCCACAATGACAATCAAATTCTTATTGTTACTTCAAGTGTGACAAAAAAGTCAAATAACCCTCCTTCTGGCGCAGTCAGGTAAAAAGACTGAAAAGCAAAGTCGAGTAATCGTCCTTTAAAACGCGATCTTTTCTCTAACAAAATGTAACTGAACCTACAGAGAGAGCTCTCCTCAGACATAAAACAACCTTATTCTAATTTTAAGTACAATAAAATATTGAGTATTGAGTATTAACCTCTTACGGGCCCAAAAATGACCTTTTAAGAAAATTATACTTATCAACAAAGGAATTTCAATGAATAATAGTGTCTAGAACAGTGGTTAACCGGTGGTCCGCGGACCACTGGTGGTCCCTGGAGGCATTACAAGTGGTCCACGAAGTGCACTTGCACACCTTGGTCAAAACCACTTTTAACTGATTTTTGCAGTCAAACTGGTTTTGACCGATTATGAGGTGGTCCCTGACAAGACAGAAATTTGGTAAAATGGTCCCTCATGACTTAAAGGTTAAGAACCACTGGTCTAGAATGTACGTTGACGTCAGCGTCTAAGATTTGCGAAGCATACAGTGAATTTCAAACATTGTTTGGTGTTTCTTTCTAGGGTGGACACATCAAAATAAACCTGAAGAGCGAGATACCAGTGCAGGTGGACGGCGAGCCGTGGGTGGCGGCGCCCAGCGAGGTGGTGGTGCTGAAGTCCGCGCTCAAGGTAACTCGGCCGCATGCGCTCGCTTATCGCCCGGCATCCCTTGCGTACTCGAAACATCCGCTTGGTCGAGCGGCTCTGCAAGGTGCACCTCTGGGACCGACACTCTTCCCTGTCGAGAACGGGTGATTCATGTACCGTAGATGCTAAAGAATTTTGTGCAAATCGTTCTGTGGTTAACTGGGTAGCTTTTGATTCGATCGAAATTAATGTTTTTAAACGCATGTTTGTTGTGGTTTGGTTACACCTTGTATTACTCACAGATATAGCAATAAATTTTGACTGATCGAAAGCAGGATTCGAATATTGGTTTATGAATACGACTAACACATGCCTTGGTAAAATATCAGTGTAAATTCAATGTCCACTAGCCGCTATGTGAATACATCACTTGCACGCAAAAGCTATTGGTTGGAGTGTAGCACTATGTTCTTTTAAATTAAAGTTAATTTGGGATAGGGCTTTAATGGTAACTTAAACTGATACCTAACAAAGATGAATCGATCAAGCGGAAGTTTATTTGATAGTACTTTAATGTATTCAAAATTCCCGAGTCACGTAACGCCCGAGCACTCAAACTCCACGCAGCACCACTCCACTAGCTCACGGTCGCGCCCGTCGGTCGAACGTTCGCCCGCCGCGCGAACGTTCGATCGCCGGGCGACCGGTCGCCTCCACATCGAACCGAATACAAAACGGTTTAATTTAACCTGAATCACATCAGACACGTCACGTCGGATACGTATGCGGTTGTTGCGCAGTCTCGTTTAGAAGTCGAATCGAGCATAACGTTAAATGAAGTAGTATGTTTATGGAATATTTTTACGGAAGTGGGCGTTAGTAGTCGCACCACAGTTCTCTGAAACTTTGCGGCTATTATCGTACACGCTTTTTCGTGTACAAATTTTCTTGTTTCCAATAAATAAATTTTGAATTTGAATTTTGAATCGAGTATTCGAGAATCTCGAGACGCGACAACCGCAGACGGCGCGTGAACGGACGCGGGCCGCGGGTGAGCCGGGGGGGTGCGGGGTGCGCGGGCGAGCGTGGGAGGGTGACGGGCGATGTGTGTGTCCGGCAGGCGACCATGCTGAAGAAAAGCAAGCGTGGGTCGGGCGGCGCCAGCGCGGCGGGCCCGTGACGGCGCCGCGCCCCGCTCACCCGCGCCCCGTGTCGCGCTGTGCAGGCCACCATGCTCAAGAAGCGCGGCAAGGTGCGGCGGCGGAACACGGAGCCGGCGCTGGCGCGGCCCGGGCAGCCTCCCGAGCGGCCGCCGGCGCCGAGCCAGCCGCCCGAGCGGCACGCGCGGCCGCCGGACTCCTGAATCTGGCTCAGCGAGCGCCTCATCTAGCGCCGCGGCGCCTCGGGCTCAAGGCGCGCGCAGCGCGGGCGCTCGCTCGTCGCACGCCACGTTCGGCATGTAAATATCACCCGAATATATATTACTTATTAAACTTTATAATAGATACTAGTTGTTGTTTTATTTTTAGTAAATTAATTTCAAAAATGTATAAAATAAAAAATATTAAAAATACATATTATATAATGTGAAACAGCGTGGGTTTTCTTTTGACACCTGAGCGTTTACCGAATAGACTATGAAGTGTAATAAAAATAAGGTGAATTATGTAATTGAAAGAAAAATAAAAATATTGGTAGCAATTATTCAGTTATTCCGTCAAGCCACCCTCAAAATCCACTTTAGAGTGAATATTAAGTGAATAAATATGTACCGAATTTAACCAATGCCACAAAAAGCCCTGACTTGCCTCGAGTCAATTATGGCAATAATTATGTTACAATTTAACTAACCAATGATGAGAGGTAAATTCGTTATATTAAGACAACATTTTGGTTTCAATAAATCTTATTTATTTTCCTGAAACTTAAGACTAGTTTACAAAGCATTCTATGAATATTAGTTACCGACCACGGGTCTGTGAGAACCTCACATAAATTAGAACTTAGTCTAGGACTGTTCTATTCAAATAAGGGCTGATTTTTCAATCCTCAGATATGTTTTAACTGAAGAATAACCTTGTCATTTTGACTTATTTCCCATACTGAAACTGTCAATGTGCCAAACTTATTCTTCAGTTAAAAGTTATCCGACGATTGAAAAATCAGCCCTAAATAAAGTAACAAGCAACAAAGTTCCGCCTTGACAACTCAACTATGATTGCTCGAATCATGAATCTGACAGCGGTAAAACAATTTTATTATTATGTACACAGTGAAGAGGTATAAAAATATCACTCATCCATAATTACTTAAAAATCAGGAACTAGGTATATAAGATCGACGTATCCGTGGTTCAGTGAATTAGATTCTAAATTCGGATGTTCTGGGTTCAATTCCCAGGAGGAACACACAGATTAAAAAAGTCGGACAGACGAAGCTTATACATCAATATGAAATTATAAACAAGAACCTTTCATTTAATTATCTACAACAATTCGTTACTACTACAAATACCTAAGAGAAAGAAAACCGCTCAATGTAAAATAATTTTGTACTTTATCAGGTCGTAATAGATTTCAAAGCCAAGTTGTCAAGTAAACTAACACACTAACGTCGAAAAATATCATCGCTGTAGAGCGATATTATTTCATTATAATTATTGCTTAACTATGCCAGAAACTGACTGAAAAACATCAAGTCGCAACCAGATACTGTCTTAAAACTCGTATTCTTAAACGACGATCAAAACTAGATTTAAACTCAAGATTAGATTAAAACCAGTGATTGGTTGAATTTCGATATTCAACCAAACACATGCTCGATCTATTATTTCTTGAATATTCATAATACGGGCCCGAGAATTAATTAACATTATATGAATATTGTACTTCAACATTATTGTACCCAAAAACCTCGATTAACTTCCAAAATTTGCTTTGGCCTAAATAGGTTTATTTATAAGAAACCCTGTTGCTCATACAAAATAAAGCGTATTTTTTTGTTCTGAATATTGTGCTTATTATTGTGGGTTTTGACTGCACACTGCTACGGGACATCGAGCAGACGGGAACATTATTGCAATCGTAAGTAACATTAAGTCTACGGCACCTTTGCCTTTTGAATGGATAAGCAGTTCCCAATTTCACTGTGGATGGCACAAGCCGTACATAAGATCTCTGACACAATCAATGAATGCAGTGCCGCGGCGATGCTAGTTTATAACATTGACACTGCAGACTTCTTAAGTTCTTAATAAGTTTAAGTCTTCAGCGTGTGACTAGTCTTATTATACTTTTAAAGTTAATAGAGAAAATTCGTGAATTACTATTTGGCCGTGCAAACCATAATATTTTATGTACTACTTTAAAGTGGCATACATTGAAAAGTATAACCACCTAACAAGTTTGAGCCTGCATTTGTGCCGATATCATCAAACCTTTCGAAAGGAATTGACAACCATCTAGCGAAGTAAAGACATCTATTCTTCTGAAAGTTCGTGATAAAGGTAGTATAAAAATAGAGAAACAAACTGCCTTAATACGGCACGCCTACGCCAGATATACAAGTCAACGTCGACATTTCTCATTAAAGAATTACGCAACTGTCTGTTAAAAGACTCCCAAGCCAATTCTATGAAAGTAAAAGTTCATGTCTTCTTTTATTACTGACGACAAAAGATACCAGAAACTTGAGATGCTACAAAAGTTCATTATAATTTGACAGAGTCCTCATCATTTGCGAGTTATTTTAATTTCTTAAAAGTAACACTTACGATACAACCATCCTAAGAGCATAAGGCAAGAGATAGTTCAAAACATACACTCGGCATCAAATAAATCGCACCTCCCGCGACAAGCACTTATCAAACGTATGCATCCCCACTTCCCACCAACATGGGTACCATTTGAAAGCCTGGTTCTAAACTTCATTTCATTAAAGGAAAGGTTTTTACCCCAAAAATGTGTCTTTACAAGGATCCAGAGTCACTTCTTTAAAAAATAGTTAGTTACGCTATAGCCATTTTTTATGACTATAAAACTGTTAAGTTGGGATTAATCGCTATCCATCTGTTAAAGAGGACACGTGAGATCCTTATTTGGTTTTATAACCATAAAAATTGGTCTAATTGATCCCAGAGGTGAGCCCAAAGTGAGGTCTATTTTCAAGTCACATTTATGGTATATGTTAATCATTTATTTAGAAATGAAATGTATTTTTCTTTAAGGATATTTATTGGGCTTTCAAATAACACCAATATTGTTGGGGTACCATAATTGTGTCAGAAGAAAATCTTTAAAGTTCGCGTCGCGGAAGGTGCGGTTTATTTGATGTTGAGTGTAGTTTTAGCTCATGTCGCACACCCGAACTTAAAGCATAATAAGTTGCTTAGCTAAAGCACTTAATACAAAAATATATCAAAAGCATTGGAAGAGAAGGGTGTGAATACCATTTACTACGAACAATTAGAAGTTCAACAAATAGACTTACATTATTGATTTTAATTGATGCACCATTTCTCAGTCGACATTATCTGGAACAACAATAAAAAATATACTTTAAAAACATTTCTAAACGACCATTTGAAAACTCGTCTAATAAGCTTAGTTGATTGTAGAAACAATGTAACGAATTATCATAATATCACAAGGGATATGAACTCTTTCATAGCGAGTTAAATTGAATGAAATAATATGTCGAGGCATTTTATTATGGCGAGTGAGTATCACTGCCTGCGGTTGTCATGGCTGGCTATTGTCGGTGTCGGTGTTGGTCACAGTTGGTTATTATTACCGCATACAGTTGTCAAGGTTGGGCATGGTCGCCGCCAATGTTGGCTTGCGGGAACTTGCTGGGCGACAGCTGGACTGCGTCCCTGGTCGCCAGGGAGCTGTGACGTCACGCGGGCTACTGTCACACTCACTCATAGTAAGCGCAGGGCAGCGGCGCGGAGGCCTCGGCGGTGTAGGCGCGCACGCGGCTGAAGGCGAAGGGCGGGAACTTGCTGGGCGACAGCTCGAACTGCGTCCACTGGTCGCGGCGCATGCACACGGAGTAGCCGCGCCATGCTAGTTGAAAGTTGCGCCGATTACGCACGTTGCGCAGCTGGAACTCCTGCGCAATAAAATGTTACGGTAAATTCACAACACTACACTATACGTTCTAAGAATGGAATTTTGCACGCCACGAGTCGCAAGGATAACTGAATAGGCCGATGCCTGCCTATAAGAACTCAATGCGCGCGCAAGCAAAATACTGGCGACGGAGCAGCGATGATCATACTCTTTAATCTGTGGCGATGATCGGGCATAGCAAGTGAACGCTGTAAGTTCTTTGAATTTGGAACGTCGAAACAGTTTTTAAAATTAAACAAAGCCGCCGTTTTCTTTTTATCCACTCGAAAGGCAAAGGCATACAAACAGCCAAGTGATCAGTTACTAAAGCCTGGTCCGTGAGCAGCACGTAGAATTTTGTCCAAGACCCTAAGCTACTCATCCATATCGCTCGCGCGTAATTATATTGCTGTCGCGACTGTGCGACGGGCGCCCGCAGTGAGTGTGCGAGCGCGACAGCAACATAATTACGCGCGAGCGATAAGGATGGGTAGTTTGGGGTCATTGGACAAAATTCTACGTGCTCACGGACCAGGCTTTACATTTGTTGAGACATGATTTTAGCGGTATGATATGGATTGTGTTGCATACAGGAGCACCCTGTATATTAGTGTATCTCACCATGTGGAAGGTCTGCTCGTGGGTCTCGGGCGCCTCCTTGCGGCGCGGGCGGAAGCGCGTGTTGCTCACCGCCGGCGGCTTCTTCTCGCTTGATTTCTTAATAACTACCACAACCTGGAAGAAAATTTTTTTCGAAGTGAAATACTGAAATACTCGACCAATAAATTATCTAGAAAAAAAATAATTAAAAAATAAAATCAAACAGGTGGGACTGACGACCTTTATTTTTCAAACAAACAAAATAGTTTCACTCGATGGAGTAACTTCTAACAGTCACGCTACTTTCGCTCTATGGAGTAACACCCTACTCGATGATGGCGCCAACTGGTGAGTCACAAGACCTTACACGCTGGTGACTTCAACTGGCGAGTAACAATACCTCACTCTATGATGGCGCCAACTGACGAATGGCAAGACTTATGCTGGTGGAGCTGGCGGCGCCAACCATTCGCCAGCCAGTTGGCGCCATCATCGTGTATCACAATCTTAATCACTGGTGGCGCCAACTAGGAGTAATATTAGTAAAGCCTGGCCCGTGAGTCGCGACTGTGCGACGGGCGCCCGCAGTGAGTGTGCGAGCGCGACAGCAACATAATTACGCGCGAGCAATGAGGATGGGTAGCTTGGGGTCATTGGACAAAATTCTACGTGCTCACGGACCAGACTATAGTCAGTAACATTTTTGTCAATTATTGTTTTCAGTGAAAAATGAGCCTACTGGTGACTAAAACGGGTCATCATCATCATTATTTATTACCACGATCTTGGAAATTGATAACATTTAGTCACTATTCTTCTTAGTGTTATTACAATTCACAACAACACATCTAACAAGAGATAAAATATGTATCTCAAAAACGATGTGCAATATGGACAGTTCAATTGTCAGCGACTAAAATGTCAATTTTAGCCGCAGCGAGCGCTGTGATCGTTTAGGTTATTCCCTCCACCCGCTTTGCACCCTGCCAATAGTCTGATGTAGTTAGTGTACCTTGTCGCCCATGAGGCGGTAGTGGCCGGCGGCGACGCCCAGCTGGGCCTTGGCGGCGCGCTGGCGCAGGTGCCCCACGCACGCCGCCGGCTCCTCCGCCGTCGTCCACATCAGCACGCTGCCCTCGGGGAAGAACCTGCAAGAGATACTGTGATATTATAAATGCGGTAATGTTTATGTTAGATTTTGATCGGGGAACGTGAAATAACAACTTTCTGTGATAGCTGAAATCAACTGCTCATGGAGTGCAGCAGCGTAGCAGAACGGGCTCAATTTATTCGATCACCATCGTCGCTGCAGGAGGCCTGTAGCAGCCTAGACGGGCTGCTTGCCTTATGGGGGTATCTGGGGTGGTTGGAGTAGGAAGATAAACAAATCGCGAACAATGGCTCAATCATGAGGCTAAGTGCGGTATTCGATTTGTAAAACTAACTAACTAGCTGAAATCAACACTTGTTACACGTCAACTTCCGCACCTTCCACATCTTCTTACGCAGTCCTTGTTACACGTCACTTGACGCGAGCTGCGTCTAGTTAATCTCCAATTGACGCCATTAGCAAGCTGCGCCTAGTTACTCGTCAGTTGGCGCCACTAGTGAGTAAGGGCAGGCCTGTTCATCTCCACGAGTTTACATCGAAAACAAAACACGCACGATGGCCCACCTACAGGATACTATTCGACGAGGCCTCACATACGAGCGAACATTGACTCACGCACGCGTATTCTTGTGTATGATGGAAGAAAATAAAGAAAATGGTGTATATAACTGTGCAGTATTTAACTGCCTAAATAATAATAAAAACACAGAATGTACTTTTTTAAGTTGCCTGAAGACACTGAGAGGTAAATAAGTAGTTAATATTATTCATGATAATTCATGCTAAATCATGTATTTCCTCCGCCATTTTCCGCAGTTTGGCACCTCACGTCACATCATTTTACCGAAGTCAGCCCTATTGCTTCGGCGCAGTGCCGATCACTGACGTTTGTCAACAAAATGGTGCTTGACTCTTGGGACAGGCTAAATTACACCATATTGTTAATGACATTGAGCATTCATTTTTTTAAATACCTTCGCGAAGTAAAACTTCTGTTCGTAGTATTTATTATTATTCTGTGGTGTTACATTATGACCGGGGAACGTGATATAACAACTTTCTGTGATAGCTGAAATCAACACTTTTTACACGTCAACTTCCGCACCTTCTACATCTTCTTCCGCAGTCTTTTTTACACGTCACTTGGCGCCACTAGCGAGCTGTACCTAGTTACTCGTCAGTTGGCGCCACTAGTGAGTAAGGGTCTTAACTATCCATTTAGGGTCTTAAACGAGTAAGGTTTCACTCTCCAGTTGACGCCAGCAAGAAAAGTAATGTTACATGCCAGTTGGCGCCATTATGGAGTAATATCTTCTTGCACGTTCGTTGGGCTACGCGGCTACGGGCTACGCTATCACTAGTGATTATAAGCACGAAAACCCGCATTAATACACAACTAGCGAACTGTGTCAAGTTACCCGTCAGTTGGCGCCATNCCATGCTAATTGGAAGTTGCGCCGATTGCGCACGTTGCGCAGCTGGAACTCCTGCGCAATAAAATGTTACGGTAAATTCACAACACTACACTATACGTTCTAAGAATGGAAGTTTGCACGCCACGAGACGCAAAGATCAACTGAATAAGCCGATACCTGACTAAAGCCTGGTCCGTGAGCACGTAGAATTTTATCCAATGACCCCAAGCTACCCATCCTTATCGCTCGCGCGTAATTATGTTGCTGTCGCGCTTGCACACTCACTGCGGGCGCCCGTCGCACAGTCGCGACAGCAATATAATTACACGCGAGCGAACTCAATACGCGCTCAAGCAAAATACTGGCGACGGAGCAGCAATGATCATAAAAAATTGATAAAAAATATCATACGCTTGAATCTGTGGCGATAATCGAGCATAGCAAGTGAACGCTGTAAGTTCTTTGAATTTGGAACGTCGAAAGTTTTCAAAAATAAACAAAGACGCCGTTTTCTTTTTTTTCACTCGAAAGGCAAAGGCATACAAACAGCCAAGTGATCAGTCACTACATTTGCTGAGACATGATTTTAGCGGTATAATATGGATTGCGTTACATGCAGAAGCATCCTCTATACATAATGAGGGCTATCGTTTTTATACTTAACAGTTGGCACCCCTGGCGATTGACAGGACCTTACTCTACAGTGGCGCCATCTTGATGAGTGCAAATGCGATAGTCCTCCTACCACTTTAGCGCTCACCAGTTGGTGCCACTGTCTTCGCTACTAGCAAGTGACAGGACCTTACTCTACAGTGGCGCTAACTGGTGAGCGCTAAAACGATAGCCCTCATTAGTGTAACACTATCGTCTCACCATGTGGAAGGTCTGCTCGTGGGTCTCGGGCGCCTCCTTGCGGCGCGGGCGGAAGCGCGTGTTGCTCACCGCCGGCGGCTTCTTCTCGCTTGATTTCTTAATAACTACCACAACCTGGAAGAAAATATTTGCTTAGAAGGTAAAACTCGTACAAGAAAAATATCAGGTATCAACCTGATCAACGCTATTGATCAACTACCAATGCTGCCTAAATAAGACACAACGAAACACGAAGCAAGCAATTGCCTAAAATGGAACTGACAATCTTTAATATTTTAACAGTCACACTACTTTCGCTAATCAGATGGCGTCACTAGAAACAACACATTACTTTATATTGGCGCCAGCTGGCGAAAGGCAGAATTTTTGCTGGCAGCTCCAACCAGCGAGTATCACTAACTGTTGGCGCGAACTGGTAAATTACCTTATCGCTATTAGTACCAACTGACAAATAACGGCGCCAAATGGTAAATTACCTTATCACTATTAGTGCCAATTGACAAGTAACGGCGCCAATTGGCGAGTATTACGACCATATAGGCGATTGGCGCCAACTGCCCCGACCTGCGAAGAAGTGGACTGTATTTCCTGCTGACGGTTATCCCAGTCATTTGGTGGTAATCTAGATGCAAAAGTGTTTTAAAAAGAAATCTAAATAAGGGCCAAAACAGATAATATTTGAACTTTGAAAGCAAAAATAATATCAATAAAAAAGTTTAAAAAAAAACCTAAATTAGTATCAAAAAGGATTGCTGGCGAAGCTGCCAGCAACAAATACCTTGTCGCCCATGAGGCGGTAGTGGCCGGCGGCGACGCCCAGCTGGGCCTTGGCGGCGCGCTGGCGCAGGTGCCCCACGCACGCCGCCGGCTCCTCCGCCGTCGTCCACATCAGCACGCTGCCCTCGGGGAAGAACCTGTAACATACAGCCTAACATTACAAATGGTGTAGCTGTGAATGTTTGTTACATTATGATCGAGGAAAGAATGAGTAAGGCTAAGAACTCACAGCGCGATTTTCACCGGCGCCCGCGGCGGTTGTGGTTATTTTAAAACTCACGGGACCGGTTATTTGCGCGGTTACGTAGCTGCCGATCACCGCCCGCAAACTTGGCGGGCGATAATCGCAAGACGGGCAGTTAACGATTAGTCGCCCGCCGCAGAGGCTGCAGTTACCGCGGCCCGCGCGATTCTACTAGTTGCCTGCCGGTGCAGCAAAACCCGCATACAACCGCGCACGCTGCGGGCGCAAACCGCGTCGTGAATTGTGCATTAGTTTTTACACAAGTATCTGCACTCTACAGAAACTGCGGCCGCGCAACCGCCGCGGGCGCGGGAGAAAATCGAGCTGTGAGTTCTTAGCCTAAGCGGGCTGCGTCTAGTTAATTCCCATTTGGCGCCGCTAGCGAGCTGCGTCTAGTTTCCCGCCAGTTGGCGACACTATCAAACTGCAAGCACTATTATAGTCACTAAGTGAGCACTCGCCTGAGGTACCGGTAGTAGTCGATGAGGTACCAGGGCCGGTAGAACTGGTCCTGGAAGGAGTTCTCTCCGTGGCGCAGATACGTGGTCTTGCTGATGAAGTGCTGCTTGCTGCTGGTACTGTGACAGTTACTAAGTGAGCACTCGCCTGAGGTACCGGTAGTAGTCGATGAGGTACCAGGGCCGGTAGAACTGGTCCTGGAAGGAGTTCTCTCCGTGGCGCAGATACGTGGTCTTGCTGATGTAGTGCTGCTTGCTGCTGGTACTGTGATAGTTACTAAGCGAGCACTCGCCTGAGGTACCGGTAGTAGTCGATGAGGTACCAGGGCCGGTAGAACTGGTCCTGGAAGGAGTTCTCTCCGTGGCGCAGATACGTGGTCTTGCTGATGTAGCAGCCATGAAGCTGGAGCCGCGGCCGCTCCACGTACATCGTCCGCCACGAGCCGAAGCCGTGCGAGCGCGGCGTGCCGCAGTCTATGCCCCAAGTGCTGGTAAAAACACACCAGATGAGTTGCATGAAACGGTTTTAGGACGTCACTAATCAGGAAGATTAAACACATTGCCAAATGATAAGCGCAAAACATGTCCCAATGCGACGTGCGATTGCGTATACACGTGCGCGACAAGGATACTATTTTAATTATTATTTTCTTTTATTCTGTGAATGCTTTTATTACTTTTAATGCTTTTGTTTACGGATTAGACGGACGGATTAGCAAGCTTAAGTGGCAATGGGCAGGGCACATAGTACGCAGAACTGACGGCCGATGGGGCAGAAAGGTTCTGGAATGGAGGCCGCGTACCGGAAAACGCAGCGTGGGACGTCCACCTACAAGGTGGACCGACGACATCGTAAAGGTAGCAGGGAAGCGCTGGACGCAGGCCGCTACCAATCGATCAACATGGAAAGCATTGGGGGATGCCTATGTTCAGCAGTGGACGTCCTATGGCTGAAATGATGATGATGATGATGAATGCTTTTGTTATTCAAAGTTCTGTCAATGGCAAAAAAACTTAGCAATGTAACTTGGGGGTATTCAGGGCAGCCACTCTTTTACTTAAATATAAAAATAAAGTTATTGACTATTATGTCCTTAGGCGCGTCAGGAGAGCTTCACATTACCTTCGGATCCCCTGTAGCAATGGGTATGCAATTAAATTATTTTCCAGTCGCAAAAGTGAGCTATCCTCTTACCGCAAACAGAGCGAGCGCCATATATCAGTGTCTCTGGCCGCCACGTAAAGCCCGCGGCAGACGCCCGCCACGCGCTCCAAGGAGGCCGCGTCGCAGTCCGCCGACACCACCCAGCGGAGCACTAGCAGGATCACCTCGTACGGCAGCCACGAGATGTGCGCGCCCTGGGGGACACGAGGGATATAAGAAAAACTTTAGAAAAACTTTCGTTCGTTCGTTCGTTCGTTTCAGCCAAATGACGTCCACTGCTGGACAAAGGCAGGAGAACCAAAGTAACCGACATAGCTCGCAGAATTGCTAAAATCAAGTGGCAGTGGGCGGGGCACATAGCTCGTAGAGACGATGGCCGTTGGGGCAGGAAAGTTCTCGAGTGGCGACCACGGGCTGGAAGACGTAGCGTGGGCAGGCCTCCTACTAGAAACACTTTATTTGACAAATCAAACAAAGGGACTTAAAACTAAACACACATATTTTTGTGCCATAAAGGCGCCCCGCTCGGCATTAATCAAGCACACTTATTAGATAAGTAGATCAATGTCTCCAGTAACATACCTACTATTACTTTTATTATGCATGCTGTGTTTGCCCATTTCATATATTGTACAATTAGAAATTAAGTTAGAATTTAGTAATATAATACAAGTATTATTGTACAATTGTTGGCAGACCAATAAAATAAATAAATAAATAAATAAATAATCGAGCCACGCGTGCCCCTACGCTGGTTTTCAGCGGATATCGTTACATGTTGAAATGTACCATACAGCAGGGACTAAGGCCGATCCCTCGAAGTTCGCGGGCAACGCAGACCCATTCTCGTAACAAGCGGGTAAATAGCGCGGCGTTGTGTTGTGTAGTCAAGGTGATTGTTTATGTTCGCGAACGAAATGTCGTTATTCCTAACGCGGAGATGCGCGGGCGGTCACCGCTTGACAGAATGCACTCGTCGCCCGTTCCCGCGATGCTGTTTTCAAGGGCGAGTCTATTTTGATTACGCAAAACATCTTGCCGCCCCCGCGCCGCCGCCGACCCGCGAAATTCAAGACACCGGCCTAAGGAACGTTATGCCAGCAGGTCCTCGCCCTCCACGGCGCCCTCGTCGTCGCCCTCGTCGCCCTGGTGTGTGACGTAGGACGCCCCGTACCTTGGCGGGGAAGGCGGGCTCGATGAGCGCGGCCTTGCGCGCCGTGATGCGCTGCAGCCGCGCCAGTAAGTCCTCGCCCTCCACGGCGCCCTCGTCGTCGCCCTCCGGCGCCCTCGTCGTCGCCCTCCGGCGCCCTCGTCGTCGCCCTACGGCGCCCTGGTGTGTGACGTAGGACGCCCCGTACCTTGGCGGGGAAGGCGGGCTCGATGAGCGCGGCCTTGCGCGCCGTGATGCGCTGCAGCCGCGCCAGCAGGTCCTCGCCCTCCACGGCGCCCTCGTCGTCGCCCTCGTCGCCCTGCTGTGTGACGTAGGACGCCCCGTACCTTGGCGGGGAAGGCGGGCTCGATGAGCGCGGCCTTGCGCGCCGTGATGCGCTGCAGCCGCGCCAGTAAGTCCTCGCCCTCCACGGCGCCCTCGTCGTCGCCCTCCGGCGCCCTCGTCGTCGCCCTCCGGCGCCCTAGTCGTCGCCCTACGGCGCCCTGGTGTGTGACGTAGGACGCCCCGTACCTTGGCGGGGAAGGCGGGCTCGATGAGCGCGGCCTTGCGCGCCGTGATGCGCTGCAGGCGCGCCAGTAAGTCCTCGCCCTCCACGGCGCCCTCGTCGTCGCTCTCGGTGCCCGTGTTGGTTCGCTCCACCTCCTCAAGCTCCAGTTCTTCTATGGAACAATAGATTTATTGTTAGTTCACACATTCGGCCATGGGTAAGAAATTAACCATAAGCACAGAATAAGTAATAGTACAGGTACAGAAGGATTACTCCGAAAGAAGATTTAAATAAATGCGAGTCTTGCTACGACGCGATACAGTGGAATTCAGCTCGCACCGCACTACGTACCTACAATTTTATTCATCTACAAGTTTTGTCTCTTTCTATCGCGTGCCTCTGAACTCTTCTTACGCTGTTAGGGTTGCTGTCTAGTGAAAAAATAATTAATCTACTTATTTGTAATGAGGTACGTATGTAGGTAAGTACGCATTAATTAGGAAAAACCCTTCATTATGGAGAGGCCTTTGTCCAGCAGTGGACGTCATTTGGCTGAAACGAACGAACGCATTCTGAGCAGTAGTCATGGTAGGTTAGGGTCCTATCTATCCTAAGAATTATTGATTACCTACATGGCCAACATACCTTTCAGCATCTTTGGGAAACGAAAAAAAAGATAAATCCGGTAGATTTCTTTTCGAATTTAAACACCCGAACGCCGCATAATAATATTTCTTTCTCTTTATGTCCATTTTTAAATAATACTTCGATCATAGAATTAGGTACTACAACGCACGCCAGCGTCCTGACGGGCGCGCGCGTGACACTCGACTGATATAATATCCGCCGGCGGGGCGTTTCGCTGTAGGTAATTATCGGATGTACCACGCGGAGTGAGCCAGGCCTGCCATAAGTGACCATCACAAGCGGTAGCAGCCCTATATGTAGAATAAGTGGAGCGGTCGTTTTAAGCATTTAAAGTGAACGCACACTTATTGGAACCGAACGCATTCTTCCAGCTTCGGACGATTCGCCGCGGGAGATGTGCGAAATTTTATAGGAAGGCAGAAGACCCCCTCCTAGAATTCTCTCGCAGTCGCTTTGAAGGAGCTAAGTCAAATGATTTGACCTCAAAATCTGACTTGGCAGAAGCTATAGGTAAGCCGGTCACCTACCCTCAGGGGTGTCGGGGCGGATATCGGAGCTCTCGTAGAGGCGGCGCTCGACGTCGGGCACAAGCTGCATAGCGCGCTTGTAGTGCTGAATAGCCTCGTACAGCTTGCCGCCGCGCTCGAACTCCACGCCGCGCAGAAACAGCTGCTTGGCCTGCGACAAATATGCTGGTGAAAGAAGCAGGCGAAAGGCCCAGTTTCTACCAGAGTGGTGCGGAGCAGTGAAGAGTTTTGGTTTCCTGAATAATGAAATTTGATTGGTTATTCAAGACACTTTTCCGCTCCGCTCCGCCTTGGTGGACACTAGTCCTAATTCCGATATCACCTCCAGAGAATTAGAGATAAAAGTAACATTTTTGACTTTTCATAAAAAAAAAATAATTACTGTTCGTTAGTCTCGCTAAAACGCGAGAATGGCTGTACCGATTTGGCTAATTTTTGTCTTGAAATATTTGTGAATGTTCAGAGAAGGTTTAGGCCCCTCACCCATGGCGACTTTTTGTAGCGATTCTGTTGCGCGTTCGCATCGATACAATCACAATGTGGTCGCTAGCGTCTGTGGGTCGCTTCGCCCACATAAACGCGCTTCTGTCGGGATGCAATCGCGATTCAGTAACCCTCCCCGATATCGTCCGACACGGTAGCGCGTTTGCATCGATACAGTCGCGCAAGTGTAGCGCGTTAGTTACGCGTTGGCATCGCTTCTGTAGTGCGTTGTAAATGCGACTAACGTTTCGTAAGCGCGCGACAGCATCACTATAAAAAGTCCGTCCACCGTGGGCGAGGGCCCTTAAACGGTGAGAAAACATGGGATAAATTACGATTTGATTTCCACGCGTACGAAGCCGCGACTGAAGCCTTATCTTCTACTCTACCTTATCCTCGTCCGAGAGAGGCTCCTCCGGCGGCGGCGGCGCCTCAGGCTTCTTCTGGCGCGTGGGGGTGGCCTCCAGCTCGCGCTGCCACTGCTGCCGGAACAGCGCCAGCTCGTCTTCCGTGTCTTTAGTCTAAACTTCTAAAGTTATTGAATAATAAGCAGTATGATACCTTATCCTCGTCGGACAGAGGCTCCTCCGGGGGCGGCGGCGCCTCAGGCTTCTTCTGGCGCGTGGGCGTGGCCTCCAGCTCGCGCTGCCACTGCTGCGAGCACTCGCCTGAGGTACCGGTAGTAGTCGATGAGGTACCAGGGCCGGTAGAACTGGTCCTGGAAGGAGTTCTCGCCGCGGCGCAGGTGTGGTCTTGCTGATGTAGTGCTGCTTGCTGCTGGTACTGTGATAGTTACTAAGCGAGCACTCGCCTGAGGTACCGGTAGTAGTCGATGAGGTACCAGGGCCGGTAGAACTGGTCCTGGAAGGAGTTCTCTCCGTGGCGCAGATACGTGGTCTTGCTGATGTAGCAGCCATGCAGCTGGAGCCGCGGCCGCTCCACGTACATCGTCCGCCACGAGCCGAAGCCGTGCGAGCGCGGCGTGCCGCAGTCTATGCCCCATGTGCTGTTGGCAATGGTAGGGTGCAATTTGATGAGCTAGTTAAAAACCATATAGATATAGAGAGATGCCAACTAACGCGCTGAGTTCGAAACTCAGTGCCTCTCAGTTAGAGATTCACACGCACAAAGAAATCAAAATATGTGCATATTGTGGATGAGCATGATATCCACAGCGGTATCATTTCTCAACGTTCGAATAATCTTTAGTACTACGCAAGCAATGTAAGCTGTTTACATTATTACGTCGCTGCTGTGATCATTGCTGTCACGAGCAATGTGTTCTGTTTTTGGGCATATTGCTGCGACACCGGCCACGCCCCCTTGTCACATCTCCCTTTAGTTTCTGTGATCTGTGTTAAAAACCTTTTACCCGCCATCGCTCGGCCGTCGCCAGTTTCATGCCCGCAGACTTATACATTAGCGATTTATGACAACGTGTGTGGTAAGTTCGAGGCATATAGGCCGTCAGCACCGCGATTAAACATTCGCTCGAATATCGCTGCAAGCAGCCGGAGTGCGACTTGCAGCGCGCACGCTACAATGTCACGTCTGATATTGGTAGTGTACAAAGGTTCAAAAAGTGTGCTCTATAATACATGCTATATTTGTATGAGAATAAAACATGCGTGTGCGGGCATATAATGGCGTAGTCTTTCATTTCGAACTTATTTTATTTGCACATGGAACAGAGGGTTTAGTGTGAGTTTACATCAAACGTCGTCACTAACGAGCACGTTAAAAAAATATATGAAGATTTTAGTTCTTGAAAGTTTCCGCTAGGGGCGCTGTACAATCCCTCATACATTTAATGACCCTTTTTTACGCAGTCGACATTGAATGCGTTTGTAGTAAACTCACACTACGCTCAGTATACAAAAGACGAATATACACATGACATTCTCGTATAGTTATGTATCTATCTAAAGTAGGGCCAACTAGCAGTGATACAAAAGGTCGATTCGACTGTCGAACTGACAATCTATTCTGTCTTTTCTCATCTTGTGTATTTGTCGTAATGTCTCGTTCTCCCGCCAAAATATGTCAAAGTCAAACCCCTGCTATTCCAAATAACCATAACATTGGGTTTGTTTACCTTTGGTATCGCTTCTCGTTGGCCGTTCTTTAATACTTTGTTTATGGTTAGTTCACTTACCGCAAGCAGAGCGAGCGCCATATATCAGTGTCTCTGGCAGCCACGTAAAGGCCGCGGCAGACGCCCGCCACGCGCTCCAAGGACGCCGCGTCGCAGTCCGCCGACACCACCCAGCGGAGAACTAGCAGGATCACCTCGTACGGCAGCCACGAGATGTGCGCGCCCTGGGGGACACGAGGGATATTGTTAGAAGTTGAAATGTAGACTAAAGTCGATCCCTAGAAGTTCGCGGGTAACCAGCGGGAAAATCGCGCGGCGTTGAGTTTTGTAGTCAAGGTAATTGTTTATGATCGCGAACGAATTGTCTAAATTCATAAAACGCAGACGCGCGGGCGGTCACCGCTTGACGGAATGCACCGCTAGTCGCCCGCTCCCACGATGTTTCAAGGGTGGGTTTATTTGAGTTTACACAAAACATCTTGCCACTCTCACGCCGCGCCGCGGCCCTGCTACCCGCGAAATTCAAGGCAGCGGACTAAGAAACGTTTTATTCCCTTTAGTTTCTCATATTTTGACCTTACTGTCACGTTTTGCGAGGCCTTGCGCGCCGTGATGCGCTGTGCCGCGCCAGCAGGACCTCGCCCTCCACGGCGCCCTCGTCGTCGCCATCGTCGCCCTGCTGTGTGACGTAGGACGCCCCGTACCTAGGCGGGGAAGGCGGGCTCGATGAGCGCGGCCTTGCGCGCCGTGATGCGCTGCAGCCGCGCCAGCAGGTCCTCGCCCTCCGCCGCGCCCTCGTCGTCGCCCTCCGGCGCCCTCGTCGTCGCCCTCCGGCGCCCTCGTCGCCCTGCTGTGTGACGTAGGACGCCCCGTACCTTGGCGCCGTGATGCGCTGTGCCGCGCCAGCAGGTCCTCGCCCTCCACGGCGCCCTTGTCGTCGCCCTCCAGCGCCCTCGTCGTCGCCCTCCGGCGCCCTCGTCGTCCTCCGGCGCCCTCGTCGTCGCCCTCCGGCGCCCTCGTCGTCGCCCTCCGGCGCCCTGGTGTGTGACGTAGGACGCCCCGTACCTTGGCGGGGAAGGCAGGCTCGATGAGCGCGGCCTTGCGCGCCGTGATGCGCTGCAGCCGCGCCAGTAAGTCCTCGCCCTCCACGGCGCCCTCGTCGTCGCCCTCCGGCGCCCTCGTCGTCGCCCTCGGCGCCCTGCTGTGTGACGTAGGACGCCCCGTACCTTGGCGGGGAAGGCGGGCTCGATGAGCGCGGCCTTGCGCGCCGTGATGCGCTGCAGCCGCGCTAGTAAGTCCTCGCCCTCCACGGCGCCCTCGTCGTCGCTCTCTGGCGCCCTCTTCGTCGCCCTCTGGCGCCCTCTTCGTCGCCCTCTGGCGCCCTCGTCGTCGCCCTCGTCGCCTTGCTGTGTAACGTAGGACGCCCCGTACCTCAGCGGGGAAGGCGGGCTCGATGAGCGCGGCCTTGCGCGCCGTGACGCGCTGTGCCGTGCCAGCAGGTCCTCGCCCTCCGGCGCCCTCGTCGTCGCCCTCTGGCGCCCTCGTCGTCGCCCTCGTCGCCCTGCTGTGACGTAGAGACGCCCCGTACCTTGGCGGGGAAGGCGGGCTCGATGAGCGCGGCCTTGCGCGCCGTGATGCGCTGTGCCGCGCTAGCAGGTCCTCGCATGTGCCGCGCCAGCAGGTCCGCCGCGCCCTCGTCGTCGCCCTCCGGCGCCGTCGTCGCCCTCCAGCGCCGTCGTCGTCGCCCTCCGGCACCCTCGTCGTCGCCCTCGTCGCCCTGCTGTGACGTAGAGACGCCCCGTACCTTGGCGGGGAAGGCGGGCTCGATGAGCGCGGCCTTGCGCGCCGTAATGCGCTGCAGCCGCGCCAGTAAGTCCTCGCCCTCCACGGCGCCCTCGTCGTCGCCCTCCGGCGCCCTCGTCGTCGCCCTCGTCGCCCTGCTGTGTGACGTAGGACGCCCCGTACTTTGGCGGGGAAGGCGGGCTCGATGAGCGCGGCCTTGCGCGCCGTGACGCGCTGTGCCGCGCCAGCAGGTCCTCGCCCTCCACGGCGCCCTCGTCGTCGCTCTCCGGCGCCCTCTTCGTCGCCCTCCGGCGCCCTCGTCGTCGCCCTCGTCGCCCTGCTGTGTGACGTAGGACGCCCCGTACCTTGGCAGGGAAGGCGGGCTCGATGAGCGCGGCCTTGCGCGCCGTGATGCGCTGCAGCCGCGCCAGTAAGTCCTCGCCCTCCACGGCGCCCTCGTCGTCGCTCTCGGTGCCCGTGTTGGTCCGCTCCACCTCCTCAAGCTCCAGCTCCTCTGTGGGACAATAGCATTCACTGTTAATGGTACCGCATTTCGGTCACCATAACTTCACCAGCCCTAGCGAGCAAATGGAGCGGTCGTTCTAAGCACTAACGACCTCTGCTAAAACTCGCACGGGTGCGTGATTTGCGGACGCAGTTTTAGCGGAGGCCGCACGCACCGAATGCATTCTTTCCGATTTGGACGATTCAGCGCGGAAGGTGTACGAAGTTTCATAGGATTAAATTAGAATTCTAAATTAGTTTCGTTCGACACGTTCGGCTCCAATAAATGAGAGTAGTATGAATGGATTTTGACAAGATATGGGAAAAAGTCGCTACCAACTGGGCGATGTCAAAATCATTGTAGGAGGCATATGCTCAGCATTGGACGTCGTGTGCTGCAATGATGATGATGACGGGAACAATGGTCGCCTACCCTCGGGGGTGTCGGGCGATGTGGAAATCGTTGGTGGAGGCATATTATGCTCAGCAGTGGATGTCCTGTGCTGGAATGATAATGAAGGGAACAATGATCGCCTACCCTCAGGAGTGTCGGGCAATGTGGAAATCTTGGGTGGAGGCAAAATCCGCTACTAACTGGGCGATGTGGAAATTATTGGTGGGGCCCTATAATTGCTCAGCAGTGGACGTCCTGGGGCTGGAATGATGATGATGAAAGGAACAATGATCGCCTACCCTCGGGTGTGTCGGGGCGGATGTCGGAGCTCTCGTAGAGGCGGCGTTCGACGTCGGGCACGAGCTGCATGGCGCGCTTGTAGTGCTGAATAGCCTCGTACAGTTTACCGCCGCGCTCGAACTCCACGCCACGTAGGAACAGCTGCTTGGCCTGCGACAAATATACCAGTGAACGGAGCAGGCGTAAGGCCCAGTTTCTACCAAGGCGGTGCGGAGCAAATAATGGTTTTGGTTTCCTGAATAATGAAATCTGATTGGTTATTCAAAACACTTTTTCGCTCCGCTCCGCCTTGGTGGACACTAGTCCTAATTCCGATATCACCTCCAGAGAATTAGAGATAAAAGTAACATTTTTGACTTTTCATAAAAAAAAAATTAATTACGTTAGTCTCGCTAAAACGCGAGAATGGCTGTACCGATTTGGCTAATTTTTGTCTTGAAATATTTGTGAATGTTCAGAGAAGGTTTAGGCCCCTCACCCATGGCGACTTTTTGTAGCGATTCTGTTGCGCGTTCGCATCGATACAATCACAATGTGGTCGCTAGCGTCTGTGGGTCGCTTCGCCCACATAAACGCGCTTCTGTCGGGATGCAATCGCGATTCAGTAACCCTCCCCGATATCGTCCGACACGGTCGCGCGTTTGCATCGATACAGTCGCGCAAGTGTAGCGCGTTAGTTACGCGTTGGCATCGCTTCTGTAATAATAATAATATAATAATATAAGCCTTTATTCAGACATACAGAGTTTAAAATTGATTGAGTTTAATATTATTCTAATTGACACTTGTCTGTGTGCCTTTTTTGGCAAAGGCCTCCTCCAACTGTTTCCACTCTCCTCTATCTCCTGCAACTGTTGCCCATCCACCTCCAGCTGTGGCCTTTATTTCATCTACCCATCTTCTTGGTGGCCTTCCCTGTTTTCGTTTAAAATGCCTTGTGAACCAGTTCATTGTAGATTTAGACCATTTCTCTTTTCCTCTAATTGTGTGTCCTGTCCATCTCCATTTCAACTTTCTGATAGTTACTGTTACATCTTTTGTTCTTGTACAATTCTTTATGGTGGTGGTTCTTACTCTATCAGAAAGTCTTTTCCCCATCATGCTTCGTTCCATTGCGTTTAGGCATGTTTCAAGTTTATGGATATGAGTTTTATTCAGCGCCTTCATCGCTTCTGTAGTGCGTTGTAAATGCGACTAACGTTTCGTAAACGCGCGACAGCATCATTATAAAAAGTCCGTCCACTGTGGGCGAGGGCCCTTAAACGGTGAGAAAACATGGGAAAAATTACGATTTGATTTCCACCCGTACAAAGCCGCGGGCAAAGCTAATATTTTTTTTTTACCTTATCCTCATCGGACAGAGGCTCCTCCGGGGGCGGCGGCGCCTCAGGCTTCTTCTGGCGCGTGGGCGTGGCCTCCAGCTCACGCTGCCATTGCTGTCGGAACAGCGCCAGCTCGTCTTCCGTGTCTTTATTCTAAAGTTATTGAATAATAAGCAGTATGATACCTTATCCTCGTCGGACAGAGGCTCCTCCGGGGGCGGCGGCGCCTCAGGCTTCTTCTGGCGCGTGGGCGTGGCCTCCAGCTCGCGCTGCCACTGCTGCCGGAACAGCGCCAGCTCGTCTTCCGTGTCTTTAGTCTAAACTTCTAAAGTTATTGAATAATAAGCAGTATGATACCTTATCCTCGTCGGACAGAGGCTCCTCCGGGGGCGGCGGCGCCTCAGGCTTCTTCTGGCGCGTGGGCGTGGCCTCCAGCTCGCGCTGCCACTGCTGCCGGAACAGCGCCAGCTCGTCTTCCGTGTCTTTAGTCTACAATTATTTAATTAATTAAGGCTAAGTTGCACCACCTAACTTTAAATGTAACTATAACGATTACCGGTGATTTTGTATGGAGTTCGACAGATTTTTTACATTTGTTAAAGTTAAAGTAAGATGGTGCAACCCAGCCTAAATATCAAAGACATGTGCATATTACATTACAACCTGATCTTTTTTTTTATTTAATAAAACTTCTTAACTTTGTCAATCAAACAAGTAATTATGATTAAGTTCCGCGTAATGTCACAAAGTGCTACACTTTTAAGCATGCCTTGATGTCACAGACCTCTTCTTATGAACTTTGGTGCACTTTTAATTTTCATTCATTTCAAAAAGTGAAAAATATGTGTCAAGTATTTTTTGATAATTTAACTGATGAACTATTCAAAACTCTTGCTTTTTTACCCACGAAACATAGGGCTGTTTCCTTAAGTAGATATTTTTTGGCATTGTTTACACTCCCTAATGTGCAAAATATTCTAATGTATTGAAAATAGGAGTCAGAAAGATGAATATAATTATTATACAAAATTACCAATGCAAAGTAACAAGTACTCACTTGAACATCATCTTGTAAGTTGATTTTCTCTAAGTCTTCGTTTATCTCAAGATCGTTGAAGTGAGAAGAATCTTCGGGCTCCTCTCCCTCACAGTCGCTGTCCACGCCACCGGACGTAGAGGCCCCTGCTGACGACGCCTTTAAACGGAAAGGAGGTTCTGTTTAATATGAATAATTTATTAAAAAAAAGATATACATACTACTTCTTGCCATTATTAAGAATCATGCGCGTCATACGTTATAATAAATATTTAAAAAAATACATTAAATACATATAACCCTCACACATAGTTAATTCATGGTTATTACTTATTACACTAATGATTTGTTATCAATCAATTGATAAAATTATACAAAAATAATTTTAACAACACATTAACGTGGGCGCGTGACATAAGAACAATAAATAAATACATCTCATCGAAATAGTCTTGGGAACTGTAATAAACCACGTAAATTGAAACAAGTTATAATCATACTCAATTATTTAGGTAAAAAATAGAAGCACATATGGCACGCCGCTAAATAGGATTACGTACCATGTTAACCAGGAAACTAATAACCCTTGCTTTTTAAAATGTTATATAATCATAAAAGATCATTTAATTTGTATCAGATTTTTTTATTCACTCATTAAAACATATTTTACGATAGTCGCAAATTGGAAATCGGAGCTTTCCCAATATTTTTGCGCTGTCAAAATCTGTGCTGTCAAACAACATGTCAAACAATCAGCTGTCATTATAGTTTTAATCAGATAAAATAAGGCAAAGAAATACATTCCAGATGATTTAATTGAAGATTATAATAAAATGATTTTATTAACCTTTTCAGCGCCACGTTCTTCTATAGAAGACAAACGTTTCCGTGCCCTTTGAATTTGATCATCAATATGCTTACAAAAAAGTTGCCTGAATGTATTGTGAAATTAAACACTGCAGTGGGACTAGACAAAGTGCACATTATAATCGCAAACCAGTCGAAAAGTGGTCGAAAGGCCTTTTTTTATAGTTTTGACCGGAATCTTGTAGTTCTCGATTCAATCAAAAAGTGCAACTTATCTAGGGTAGGGGGCAGTGCACACTGGCACACAATGTGATATTGTTTGGACTGGAAAAGCTAAGAAATTCATAACAAAAAATAAAACAATTCATTTTTATATTATTGTAATATGGATATTTATAACATTAGATTCTTCTTTTTCATTATATAACTGGCTTTGAATCACAATCCAAAAGTATATTAATATGGCCGTATACATTAATGCTACTATCAAGTATAGTGCACCAAAAGATGAATGACCAAAATACATTGCTTCAATACTAACAACAAAGGCTAATATCAAACTGACTATCATATAAAATATCATAGTCCACAAATATATTGTAAATAACTTCTTTAGTCGTATGATTCCCGCCACACATAACGTAACGTGACATGAGAACACTACAATACCAAGAACACCGTAGATGTATCCTATCACTGCTGCTTCAGACAAAGGTATCCCTCGTTCTTGAAAAAAATCGTTACCCACTGGTGTAGTAAGTAATAAGCATATCACTGTAGGCAAAAGCCCTAAAGTGGCTATTAAGAAAGTCCCTGTTCTTAAAGATATGCAATAACAACAGTTGTAAAATATTGGACAATAGTAACCCAACGAATTTTTCTTCATAATTTAATATTAATGCTCATAGTTTACTTTCTTTCTTTAAAACATTGTATTAGCAAAAATCGTCTCTGATTGCAATTTGCTGCTGACTTGGCTGGTGACGATTAGAGATGGGTAGTGGGTAAAAACCCATTTCACCCGATTGGGTTTAAACCGGGTGTTTTGGGTTAAAACCCGGTTTTTACCCATTATCACCCATTCTGGCGGGTGAAAACAAAAATAGCGTTTTTTTAAAGTGAGAAGTGGTATTTGTGGCTAAGGGGGCGTTCTAGTGTTACGTAATGCATTTAGTCTACAATTATTTAATTAATTAATGCTAAGTTGCACCACATAACTTTAAATGTAACTATAACGATTACCGGTGATTTTGTATGGAGTTCGAATTATTTTTTACATTTGTTAAAGTTAAAGTAAGATGGTGCAATCCAGCGTAAATATCAAAGACATGTGCATATTACATTACAACCTGATCAAGTTTTTTTTTTATTTAGTAAAAAGTTTGTTTTCTTTCTTAACTTTGTCAATCAAACAAGTAATTATGATTAAGTTCCGCGTAACGTCACAAAGTGCTACACTTTTAAGCATGCCTTGATGTCACAAACCTCTTCTTATGAACTTTGGTGCACTTTTAATTTTCATTCATTTCAAAAAGTGAAAAATATGTGTCAAGTATTTTTTGATAAGTTAACTGACGGACTAATTCAAACTCTTGCTTTTATTTCCTTAAGTAGACATTTTTTGGCAATGTTTACACTCCCTAATGTGAAAAGTAAATATATTAGAGAATGGGAGTCAGAGAAATGAAAATAATTATACAAAATTACCAATGCAAAGTTACAAGTACTCACTTGAACATCATCTTGTAAGTTGATTTTCTCTAAGTCTTCGTTTATCTCAAGATCGTTGAAGTGAGAAGAATCTTCGGGCTCCTCTCCCTCACAGTCGCTGTCCACGCCACCGGACGTAGAGGCCCCTGCTGACGACGCCTTTAAACAGAAAGGAGGTTATGTTTAATATTAATAATTAAAAAAAATATATACGTACTACTTCTTGCCATTATTATTTATTTTATTTTTATATTAAGAAACATGCGCGTCGTACGTTAAAATAAATATAAAAAAAAATACATTACATACTTATGACCCTCATACATAGTTATTCAAGGTTATTACACTAATGATTTGTTATAAATCAATAGATAAAATTATACAAAAATAATTATAACAACACATTAACGTGGGCGCGTGACATAAGAACAATAAATAAATACATCTCATCGAAATAGTCTTGGGAACTGTAATAAACCACGTAAATTGAAACAAGTTTTATTCATACTCAAAAAATAGAAGCACATATGGCACGCCGCTAAATAGGATTACGTACCATGTTAACCAGCAAACTAATAACCCCTGCTTTTTAAAATGTTATATAAGCCTATAAAGTCATTTAATTTGTATCAGATTTTTTTATTCACTCATTATAACATATTTTACAATAGTCGCAAATTGGAAAATCGGAGCTTTCCCAATATTTTTGCGCTGTCAAACAACATGTCAAACAATCAGCTGTCATTATAGTTTTAATCAGTTAGATTATGGCAAAGAAATACATTCCAGATGATTTAATTGAAGATGATAATAAAATGATTTTATTAACCTTTTCAGCGCCAAGTTCTTATAAAGAAGACAAACAACGTTTCCGCGCCCTTTGAATTTGATCATCAATGTGTTTACAAAAAAGTTGCCTGAATCCATTGTTATAAAACACTGCAGTGGGTCTAGACAAAGTGCACATTATAATCGCAAACCCGTCGAAAAGTGGTCGACAGGCCTTTTCTTGTATGGAGTTTTGACCGAATTATGTAGATCAAAAAGTGCAACTTGTCCAGGGTAGGGGGGCAGTGCACACCATAGAGAAAAAGTAATACATAGTGTGCACACTGGCACACAATGTGATATTGTTTGGACTAGAAAAGCTAAGTATAACAAAAAATAAAACAATTCATTTTCATATTATTGTAATATGGATATTTATAACATTAGATTCTTCTTTTTCATTATATAACTGACTTTGAATCACAATCCAAAAGTATATTAATATGCCCGTATACATTAATGCTACTATTAAGTATAGTGCACCAAAAGATGAATGACCAAAATACATTGCTTCAATACTAACAACAAAGGCTAATATCAAACTGACTATCATATAAAATATCATAGTCCACAAATATATTGTAAATAACTTCTTAAGTCGTATGATTCCCGCCACACATAACGTAACGTGACATGAGAACACTACAATACCAAGAACACCGTAGATGTATCCTATCACCGCTGCTTCAGACAAAGGTATCCCTCGTTCTTGAAAAAAATCGTTACCCACTGGTGTAGTAAGCAATAAGCATATCACTGTAGGCAAAAGCCCTAAAGTGGCTATTAGGAAAGTCCCTGTTCTTAAAGGTATGCAATAACAACAGTTGTAAAATATTGGACAATAGTAACCCAACGAATTTTTCTTCATAATTTGATATTAATGCTCATAGTTTACTTTCTGATTCATCTCTGATTGCTGCATTTGCTGCTGACTTGGCTGGTGACGATTGACAAATAATGCCAAAAAGACAGTCTATTTCTTTTTCAGTTTTTATTTCGTTAAATCGTCGGTGTAGAAATCCTTGGGAGATGCCTTCAGTGGTCCACTAGGTCCAGCAGTGGACATCATTCGGCTAAAACGAACGAAGAAACAAAAAACCGTTTCCGCGTTAGGCCACGTTGAGTTGGCCAGTCTTTTTTTATACTTTCATCGAACTCTTGAATGGTTTCGCCCCTAGAAATTATCAGATTCTTAAGAATAGACGTTAAGAAGTGGAATGTAGATTTTGTTGTAGAAGAAAAGTGTTCACCAGAATATCACGCAAACGAACAATTGACTTGTACTCAAAGCCGTGAAACATCATTAAAAAAAATTAGGAGATCTGTGGGCTGGGCTGTGCTGTCAAAAAGCTGTCAAATTCGTCAAAATTTGATTCACAAAAAATCCGAGCAGTGGGTTTTTTTACCGAAAATTTACATTTTACAGAAATGTAAAGAAAGAAACAAGCATCGATTCAAACATTCCACTTTGAGTATTATTACTGTGCTGTAAAAGTTGCAAGAACAACTTCTAAAAATGGTAAAAATTGATTCTTGAAGCTTGCCAACTTTGTAGCCTTTTTTGCTCGTTTGCTACGTAGCATAACTTGGAATTAATGAAGTAATGATTATAGCTTATTTATTCTGTAGATAAATAATGTATATTGTTTCAGATGCAATTCATGTTATTATTCAGCCGACAAGGCAAGCTCCGTCTTCAGAAATGGTACGTGGCTCATCCAGACAAGTTAAAAAAGAAGATAACTCGCGAGCTGATCACCACAGTCCTTGCGCGCAAGCCTAAGATGTGCTCCTTTCTTGAGTGGAAAGATGTGAAAGTTGTTTACAAAAGGTGAGGAAAAACAATATTTTCATTTCGTTGTCATTCTTGTTCTAATCTACAGTTTCGCAAAATTAGTTGATATTGAATCAGAATAGCCTGTAACAGTGACGAGTCTTTAATTTATTTCAGTTATTTCACTTGGGTGAGGTAGATCCAGCCCAGTGTTTGTTAATCACATTATTGCTTCATTGTGCTTTAAAAATTAACACTTAAGCTTTATATGAATGTGGTCATGACTCATTCAACTGAGCAGGAAAAATACATAGAAGTTCATACAGAAAGTCGTGTCAAAAATCCTGTTTAATTTTATTTATTTTATTGTTTCTAGCAATCTGATTCTGTGCCATTATCAAATTAATTGTTTATTTATGCAAGTAGGCACTTACTGAAGGCAACCGCACTATTTCACAGATACGCCTCCCTGTACTTCTGCTGCGCCATGGAGCAGGAGGATAATGAGCTGCTGACACTGGAGCTCATCCACCGCTACGTGGAGCTGCTCGACAAATACTTTGGCAGTGTACGTTACGTTACAAAGTCATAGAAATAACTCATTAGAGACATGATTATAATTAAATAATCACTTATGTGAATTAATAAATAAAATAGTTTAATATTAAATATAACCACGTAATTTAAGAAGACAGCTTAGGCATGGGCCAGCTGCTCTTTAATAACAAATAAACACTCAACAAATCTGATTATAGTCTGGCGACTGATTGCAGAAATCATCAACACAAAAAAAATTAATTAAATAATGAAGTGTGATTAACTTTGCAGGGTGGCTTTCTTTCAGTGTGTTTCGCAACCAAAAATTCTTTGCATCCAGCCTTACTAGTTTGTTCATTATTAAAAGATTTCATCACTATTAAACATTAACAGCCAGTATTCAGAATAATCTCCTCAGTAGGGAGGATGTCATATTGTCATCAGTAGTAGCGACAATTTTCATACTGTCTTGTCTTTTAAAGCTTTTTGCAAACATCAACAGGTGTTTTCCAGGTCGAAATCATCTCTTCCTATCCCAAGTCATTAAAATTAGTCCAGCCCTTAGCATGTTGTTGTATCGTACAGTTACCTTTGATTCAATAATTTATAAGCATTTATTAAATGGAGAGAGAATTTACTGAAATATCCCTTTTAAGAACTCAAAAAAAAAGTAAGACAAAACATCTGATTATGACCCAAGTCGATTGCAGATATAAAATGGAGATTTTTTTTTAAATGCATTCAGTTTTTATTGCATTAAATCTTCGGTGTAGAAATCCTTGGGAGATACCTTCAGTGGTCCTCTAGGTCCAACAGTGGACATCATTTGGCTAAAACGAACGAAGAAACATAAAAAACCGTTTCAGCGTTAGGCCACATTGGGTTGACCGGTCTTGTCTTTTTGTCGTCTTGTTTTTTATACTTTCTCGAACTCCAGAATGGTTTCCTCACATTCCAGGTGTGCGAGCTGGACATCATCTTCAACTTCGAGAAGGCGTACTTCATCCTGGACGAGCTGGTGCTGGGCGGCGAGCTGCAGGAGACGTCCAAGAAGAACGTGTTGAAGGCCATCGCCGCGCAGGACTTGCTCCAGGAGGTCAGTAGCCAGGACAACGAGCTTGTCTAGGGGTCCCCATTGTATAAGGATGTTTCCTGGGTAAAAAACAAGAGTTTGAATTAGTCCGTCAGTTAACTTATCAAAAAATACTCGACACATATTTTCCACTTTTTCAAAATAATGATAATCTAACGATAAAGCGCACCAAAGTTCAAAAGAAAAGGCCAGTGACGTCAAGGCGTGCTTAAAAGTGTAGCACTTTGTGACGTCACGCGGAACTTCAAACCATCATAACTTTGTAATTACTCATGCTTTGACAAATAAAAATATATTATGTGTCCAATATTTTTTGATAATGTAATTTACGAACTAAAAGTTTTTTTTAGGAAACTAGCCTATTGCAACTATGCTAGGAACGACCTGTCTTGACTGTAGACAGTTATTCATTGGCATATCTAGGCTTGTATTTCAGAGGGGGTGCGATTAGTATCTAGCTCATGATTGGTGCTATCAATGATCTTCAAATCGGTAGCCTAACATCCTGGGGGGACACCAGACCATTCTGGAGAGGGGGCCTTGCCACCGTGAAAACCCACTTGTATATCTTGATCTTATACAAGAGGATTGCACTATACGTGCGAAAAAGGGGATAAACTGTGAACTTTTTGTGACAAAATATGTATACCTGATATCCTTCTTTTAGGTCCCATGTATCCCCTTGCCAAAATTCATCAATATTGATTCTGCAGTTTGATGTAAAATTGTAATGTGACAGAGTTACTTTCATATTTACAATTAGTTGATATCCTTAGACCTTTCTATCATCTCCATATTTTATAAGGTTTTAAACTTTTGACTAAAATAGAAAGACATGAGTCTTTACACAATATTGATTAAATATGTAGCTCATGTTCATTCAAGGATAAAACCGATAAGATCTGGACAGACGTGTAGTAACAAAGCTCTTAACATCCCACCAAGTGGTCATGGAAAATTTGACAGTCTTCAGTCAATAAGCAAGACAGATCGTTTCTATATGCATAGGGGGATGGAGCAATATTTGAATACCTAGCAGAACTGATGAAGACAAGACATTCTTGTGTAGTGTTGATGATTTGATCTTTTTATACACAGAATATCTATTCTTCAGGGGTGCTCGAATTTTAACCAGTTATAAAATTATTCTGAATATCGTTTTAATCTGCATGATTGTGCAATTATGTTTTCTATGAACACTAACTTCATTTGTTCCTAATATTATGATACTTACATGATTCTCAATTCCTAATCGTAGTTAATATTTATTTGTCAATTTTATCAATTACATCTATCTTTTAAATAGATTTAAAGTAGATATTAAAATTTTAAGAATCCTTTTTTTGTCTTAAAGAAAATGATATATTTCAATATAACTAATATAAAAGATTAATTTATTATGAAAACATAAAATTATAAAGGTTTGATAGTATATTAAATTTTTTATGACGCAAAAAATAGACTTATGGGAAAGTATTTATTCATGAATTATGATCACAATTTAGCTAATTTATTGTAGACGTATACAAGTTACATTTTTAAAACTTTCAATACGGAATCAAATGCCAATAGCTGTAGTCTTAAGGGTTATACTTATTCATTGTATTATTTGAATAGTACAGTCATGCAATATTTAGAAGTTATTTATAAAACTTGTGTGTAATTCTCATTTTGCTCAGTAACAAACGAACCTAGTCTACGCATATCTCGATTGTTGTAATGATAAGTGTGAAGTGGACCAGTATGTTAGGACAGTGGCCTCGGTAGTGCCTTTTCTNCTAAGGGGACGTATTGCAACTATGCTAGGAACGACCTGTCTTGTTCGAGGTTGAGAGCCATCTGCGCTTAGGGTTGCTAGGCGTCCGGCTTTAGCCGGACATGTTTGGCTTTTTACGGTCATGTTTGGCTTTTTACGGTCTTGTCCGGCCTAATATTGTCTTGTCCGGCCTGTCCGGCTTTTGTTAGGCTTTTTATGTGGCCTGATGCGCCAGGCGAAAGTTGAGCCACAGAATAACATGAAGCGCAGCGCACGCATCAGGATGTTATGTTGGGCAACCGATGATACGACGATGACAGTACTCACTCGTGAGCTATGACACTAATTGCACTCCGGCTTTTAGTGTAAAATGTCCGGCCAAATGAAGCACAGAGTCCGGCTTTTTTTATTTTGGACCTGGCAACCCTACTGCGCTCATCTATTGTCCGGTGAAGCTGAGAAAGCCGCTCACGGCTATCAGCATAGTCATTCCGAAAAAAAAACCACGTTTCTTGACTGTAGACAGTTATCCATTGGCGTATCTAGGCTTGTATTTCAGAGGGGGGTGCGATTAGTATCTAGCTCATGGTTGGAGCTATCAATGACCTTCAAATCGCTAGCCTAACATCCTGTTGGGACACCAGACCATTCTGGAGAGGGAGCGGTGCCACCGTGAAAACCCACTTGTATATCTTGATCTTATACAAGAGGATTGCACTATACGTGCGAAAAAGGGGATAAACTGTAAAATTTTTGTGACAAAATATGTTCTTGTATTGTTCTTTTAGATCCCATGTATCATCATGTTCCCTTGCCAAAATTCATCAATATTGATTCTGCAGTTTGATGTAAAATTGTAATGTGACAGAGTTACTTTCATATTTACAATAGTTGATATCCTTAGACCTTTCTATCATCTCTGTATAAGATTTTAAACTTTCGCGTTCCATTTCGACTAAAATAGAAAGACATGAGTCTTACCGCAATACTTATTAAATATGTAGCTCATTTTCATTTAAGGATAAAACCGATAAGCTCTGGTGTAGTAACAAACACAAACCAAGTGGTCATGGAAAATTTGACAGTCTTCAGTCAATAAGCAAGACAGATCGTTTCTATATGCATAGGGGGATGAAGCAATATTTGAATACTTAGCAGAACAGAAGAGAAGACCTTCTTGTGTAGTGTTGATACTCATCATAATTTTTACACAGAATGTCTGTTCTTCAGGGGTGCTCGAATTTTAACCAGTTATAAAATTATTCTGAATATCGTTTTAATCTGCATGATTGTGCAATTATGTTTTCTATGACTAACTTCATTTGTTCCTAATATTATGATACTTACATGATTCTCAATTCCTAATCGTAGTTAATATTTATTTGACAATTTTATCAATTACATCTATCTTTTAAATAGATTTAAAGTAGATATTAAAATTTTAAGAATCCTTTTTTTGTCTTAAAGAAAATGATATATTTCAATATAATATAAAAGATTAATTTATTATGAAAACATAAAATTATAAAGGTTTGATAGAATTTAAATTTTTATGACGCAAATAATAGACTTATGGGAAAGTATTTATTCATGAATTATGATCACAATTTAGCTAATGTATTGTAGACGTATACAAGTTACATTTTTAAAACTTTCAATACGGAATCAAATGGCAATAGCTGTAGTTTTAAGGGTTATACTTATTCATTGTATTATTTGAATAGTCATGCAATATTTAGAAGTTATTTATAAAACTTGTGTATAATTCTCGTTTTGCTCAGTAACAAACGAACCTAGTTTACGCATATCTCGATTGTTGTAATGATAAGTGTGAAGCGGACCAGTATGTTAGGACAGTGGCCTCGGTAGTGCCTTTTCGTTGTATGTTAGAGTCACTAAACTATAGGCGTAGGTAGGCACTGCCTTTATAGTATTTAACCGTTAATTATAAAACACATCTAAAACACTAATGTAACAAATTACATATCAAACACCATATTGTGCTGTTTTTAGATGTTACAGATATTCCAGTGCACATTATATTTGCTATTTGCACTAGTCACTGAATTTTTACTAATGATATAGTTTATAAAAAGACCAATTAAATTAGAAGCTTTATTAGTGCCTAATAAATTTTGATATTAAAGTAGAAAAAGTTGCTATTTAAATATTATAAAAAATTGTTTATCACTGTTACAATGAAATAATAGTAACCCCCAATAAATTGAAACCTTGCACTGTGCACAAACGAGACACATAGCAAAAATGGTGTGACCGACATTGCGTGTTACTGCATTATTAAGGTGTTTAAATAAATTAGTAACATTTAATAATCGTTAGAGTTTTTGCTCACAGTGACATTAGTAGAAAACACATAAAAATTGCATTTTATATTAAACCCCAATTAATATTTTGTGGTGCATCTATTTAAACATACTAAAGTGAATGCTGATAGTTTATGCTATTCTTAATTCATAAAACTTCTAAATATTTATTTTCTTTGCTAACTATCCTACCAACTGATATCATTACTGATTCGATAGAAAACGGGATTGATGTTTGTTCGAAACAAGGGAGGGAATTCAGGGTATAAAAATATAGGACACAATTCACACTTTGCACTCAAAAAGATGCTGTATTGTGTGGCCAGATAGGGGTTGGGTTACACTGCGCTTGAATAACAACCTTTGTTATATAAAAAGAGTCCGCGCTACATTGTGGATGGTGATACCTACTCGTAGTGTGCTGAACAGCTTTGTAAAAAAACGGTACACGCATTAACACCGATACTGTCATCATAGACTAAGAGCTAGTGAACGCCAGACCTACGTCATTTTATAAAAGAAAAGCTGATAGTTTGTACCAAGAAATCTGATTTTTATGCATAATATTTGGGCAATGATTAGAAGTTGTTTTCACATCAGCCAGATAGTTTTTACAGTTCCAACTCCTTGCCAGACAGGTTTTTCAGGATAGCTGCCAAAGCCACGATGACCCAAACTTCATGATTCACCAGCAGTCTAACCTATATTGGAAGCATACGCTGACAAACTTTCAGCTTTTATAAAATGACGTAGGTCTGGCGTTCACTAAGTAGCTCTTACTCTATCATGTTTTATGTATGCTGAAATACTCGTAAAAATTCTTGCACTTTTGTGCTTTGACGTCTGCTATGTTAATGTGTTTTTGTACTGTGTTTACAAAACAAGCGTCACAGTACGAGCGTCATTTGTCACTTTGTGACGCGGATTCGTTTCTTAGGTCCGGTTTCCATCAAAGCGGAGAAGAGAGGAGACGAAAAGTGTTTATTCAAACACATCTCTTCTCGTCAGTGCCAGATTAAAACTACTTGATGCCCTAACTATGTATAAGCAATCCAGCTCCCTGCTATAATTCTGTCATATAAAAATTTGGTAAAATCTTAGCATTTTTCTACAGAAATGCTACTTTTACAGAAAATAATGCGTGGACTTTTTTATGTGCTGGTAAATGTTTTGCGCTGTTTTTGGTGCCCCCTAAGACATGATGCCCTAAGCATTTGCTTAAGGATTAATCCGGCACTGCCTCTCATCTCCTCTCATCCCCACTTTAATGGAAACCAGGCCTTACACGTCTGCTATATCCCACTGCACTCGCTAATCTTCTTTTGGTGTGATGTATGCATGCTCGGCCAGGACCTGAACGACGGACTCTTGCACTGACCGCGGATGGCACCGCGATACCGAGACTACCTCTACCTACTCGTATTATCCTTCTTGATGTGTAGCTGACTCGTCTAGGCATGATCCATTGAACATTTTCCTCGTCACTGTAGTGTACGGTGACGAGTTAATCATCGGTTAAAAATCATCATCATCATCATCAACAGCCCTTTACAGTCCACTGCTGGACTATGAGCCTTCTCCACTATAGTGGAGGGTTTTGCCATAATCTCCACGCTTGGCAGGCGGGTTGGAGATCGCAGTTTAAAAGATTGATGTTTTTCAGAGAGCGCTGCTGCCCATTCTCTGTTTGATGTGTAGTCCCTAAGTCGCCTCTTACGACACCCGCGGGAAGAGTAGGGGTTGGTGACAAATGTATTCTACTCTGCCGTCACCACACGGCTTCTCGGTTAAAAATATTTTGCATCAATATCGATCAATTAGTAAGATTTTGCTTTTCAGACCTGCTTATTGAGGAGTTGTTTTACATTCCTCAAACTACATATTTTATTTTTTATGCCTGGAATAAAGAACTATTCCGAATATAATTAAAGGTCCTTTTTATGCAATAGTGAAATCATTTTTGGGATCAATGAATCTGGCATTGTCCGCATATTGATGACTCTGAGCGTCTATGTGTATTGCAATTCATGAACGAAGTATACGATTGCACCTATTTCTCGTAACTCTTTGTGGATCCTGCTTAGACCAAAATGTATAGGTACTATTATTGTCCTGTATAATTTAGCTCAATGGTCAGTTCTGCATGGTCGCTCTTTGTAAATACACCTTATCCTGGTGCATGCATCACTGCTTGGTCAATTTTCCTCATATATTATATTTATTCATCGGAATCATCTTTATTTTTTATTTATGTATTATATTTATATCCATGTAGCGTGTTGTAGCTGTATCAATAATAACACTGCATGAACATTATCTCACTTACACATTTTACGACATACAAATCGACTCTTCAAAATCATTTCTAAAGGCGTATTAGAAGTTTGTATAGATATATTATTTGTAATATTGTTCTAGACTTCGCCCGAGTGAAAGTTAATATGTACGTTGACGTAGGTCGTAGGCATCATATGTTATCTATATGTACGCCATTGTTGCTTCGTTGTGTATGTGTAGTTAACAGTTATTTAATAACCGATTGTATAGGGTACACCGTTTTGCCATGTTCCTAAGCATGCCATCACTATATCATGCTCATTTACATTCCTTTGCATTTTGGTGTTTTTCTGAAAGATTTCATGTATTATTGTGCGATGATTATGACGAACGATTCACATGTTCTGAAAGTGCGCCTACATACGAATATTTCTTTTTTCATCAATTCAAATTATGCATTTATTTGAACGTTTATGCGTTGTTACCAAACTAACAACTAACAATAACCCAAGCTTGAGCGCTGTATCACAGATTTTACTCATTGTCCATGATGGTTGGTCTCAGACCTGTAAAATATTTCCATTAATTAAAAATTGACGATTGTCATTGGTTACAAAATAATACCTTGGTTTTCGTTGTAAAACAATTTAAATTGGCACCATGATATACTTGCTTAATAAGTAAATAAACACTTGCTCTGATTGTGGCATGGTGAAACGGTGTACCTGGTGATGGTTTGCTGCTCATGCGTGTATGTATTGGGATGTGGAAATACATTGGTTCGAAGGAAAATTCTGTTTTCTTGCATGTTCCTGTTCCTTTCCTACGTCGTAACACGAGAGGGCTTTGGTAACAACTATCTTTTGAAGAGGCTTCTCTATTAATTTAGAGTAGGTATAATATGCCAGGAAAATAATCTTAACTATCGGCTATGTGCTAGTGAGCCGTATTAAAATCGATCCAGCCGTTTTAAAACACACTGAACTTATTACCTTTCTCGTGCTACGATCCATTTAATGTTAACTGGAAAGCTTTTTAATTTCGTATGAGGTTGGATTTCTTGAATTTTTCAAATCTTTTTTGACATTCAAGTCCTAATCAACTTAAATTATTGATGTAAATAAAAATTAATAATTTGTTTCCCTTGTGAACTACTAACAATTCCGCAGTAACTCAACATCTAAATACAGCAAGATTAGTAAAAAAGAAATAACTTCTTTCGGAATCAGTATTTTACGTACCTAGGTAGGTATAAAAAACCCCTACGATAACATACTTTTTTTTTAGGATCGGATGATCATATGCCTTTAGAGTAGGCGCACACCATTGATTTTTCGTCGGCCGATAGTTTAGTCGGGCAGTTGATCAGTATGGGCATGTATGGGAGTGCGCACACTACGCCGATTCGATTTGGCCGATTCTTCATACAAATTAAAATCGGGCACAACTATCGGCCAACTAAAAATCAACGGTATGCGCCTACTCTTAAACATGGCCATTTAAAAAGAAAAGTAAGTGACATCACTTCGCAGCGAGTGACATTTGTTGTACTATCGGCCACAGAATTAACTATCCATTTCTGTTTTTGCTCTCGCTCATCAAATGGTGATTCTTTGTGATAGAACGAGACGACATGACTGGAAATGGGTAGTTAACACTTTTGCCGATAGTTCGTTCAAGAGATACCACGATCTCATACAAATGTCGCTCGATAGCAATATGTATTCTTCTATCAACGCAGGGATAACGTAACTTATAATCTATACTAATATTATAATGCTGAAGAGTTTGTTTGTTTGTTTTCTTGAACGCGCTAATTTCCGGAACTGCTGGTCCGATTTGAAAAATTCTTTCAGTTTTAGATAGCCCATTTATCGAGGAAGGCTATAGGCTATACAACATCACGCTACGATCAATAGGAGCAGAGCAACAATGAAAAATGTTGCGAAAACGGGTTTTTACGCGTACGAAGTCGCGGGCACAGCTAGTGTACCTATATACGTGACTTTATAATTATTTTACTTTGAATGCTCCTGCTCTATCAAAGGTTCATGGAATGAGCATTGCATTATGAGTGGTTATATGAGTTGGAATGGGCTTGCTAGGACGAGACGGTGGATGCGGCGCTGCGCGAGGTGGGACTGCTCTGAGGCTGCGCGCACGCACACGGGACTGCGACAAACTAACTGCCGCCAAATTTTGACATTTTTGAGTAGAACTCTTGCGGGTTTATTACAAAAATAATTAAGGTTTAAATGACAGCGTAATCTAATTGCAATCGTCTCTTCGATCGGTCCTTCTCATTACATTATTGTGTCAACGCGAAATGTGTCAAATGTTACGTTATTTTAAGGCAGTGTTAAGCCTATATCAGTTATTTTTGTAATAAAGCCGCTTAATACAGACAAGAGTATGAACAAACAGAAATTAAGACATTTTTTTTATTAGTAGTAATCATCGTATCTATTGTAAATAATAGTTTGACGCACTGTGGTCCGTACAATACATTACGGTGTAAGAATATGAAAAAAGTTTGTATTTTCCAGAAGAAAAGACGTTGAAACGAACGAACCATGTTGTACACACTATGTTTTTTGGTTACAGTGCATGCAACGGTTACAGCTCGCTAATGAGTAGGTACCCGCCTAAAAAGACATGTTTTTTATGGACTTGAATGTACAATTAAGGTTTTATAAGAGTATTTCTCAAAAAAAGTGTACATTTTGAAAAAAAAAAGTGTGCTTTGAAACAGTTATAAAGTTTTATATTTATAAATCATCACACAAAAAAAACACACACACAATTTTGAAGGATGAATATTAATCTTTAAGATAACGAAGAATTATAGCTATAATCCTACTTGTTACCAAATATTTAGATATTTTAAAAATAGTCCTTTTTTACCTTTCATACAAAAACCTGTTTGCCACCCTAGCTTTTTCATGTATTTTCGTTTCATAAAATGCGATACNGTAATCTAATTGCAATCGTCTCTTCGATTGGTCCTTCTCATTACATTATTGTATCAACGCGAAATGTGTCAATTGTCACGTTATTTTAAGGCAGTGTTAAGCCTATATCAGTTATTTTTGTAATAAAGCCGCTTAATACAGACAAGAGTATGAACAAACAGAAATTAAGACATTTTTTTTATTAGTAGTAATCATCGTATCTATTGTAAATAATAGTTTGACGCACTGTCGTCCGTACAATACATTACGGTGTAAGAATATGAAAAAAGTTTGTATTTTCCAGAAGAAAAGACGTTGAAACGAACGAACCATGTTGTACACACTATGTTTTTTGGTTACAGTGCATGCAACGGTTACAGCTCGCTAATGAGTAGGTACCCGCCTAAAAAGACATGTTTTTTATGGACTTGAATGTACAATTAAGGTTTTATAAATTGTCTGTTTGTTCATATTTTTGGCTAATGTTTTATAGTCCACATAACAGGCAACGAATCCTGTGCCTGATTTTCTTCCCAAACGTGATTCCAATTTATTATTAGGTTAAATATTAAAAAAAAAATATGTAAAACTAGGTTTCGTATATACCTTTTTAAAATAAATATAATATGGAATTTTATGTATGTAAATATTAATATTTTCGTAAACATGACCAAAGTTTGAAAAATTGTTGATCGATAACTTGCCAGAATATTATTATGTATTTTTTTGTTATGTAATTTATATTAAACGTTTAATTTCTTATGAAAATTCGAATTTACAAAATATCGAAATATTTTTACCTATTATGAGTACCTTTGTTTTTATAGATTAAGGTTTTTGATTATTTTTTTACATAGTTTAATTGCGTTATCATACTTTGTTTTTGATATAATATACTTACTGACCTCTCCATTCGATTTGGAAGATGGTAACCATAGATAGATGTTGGACTACTACTCCAAATAAAGTGCCATTCTGTAATAAAAAGCATTGATTTTCTTTGGAGACAGTAGATATACAAGTGACGTTACACATAATATTATTATTTCCATATTGACCACAGTGAAGTGTTAAAGTATATAAAAAGTAGATTCTTTGATGGTGTCTATAGTACCCTATTTCTAATGGTTTTTGTCCTTGTTTTTGCAGTTTATTCTGCGTTATATTTACTGGATTTAAATGTTTATTATTATAAGTATTAAAGACTAAGAGAGATCTTAAAAAGTACCTTGGTAATTTTATAAACAAAACGAGTACCTATGAAATATTATCAGTGTTGTAATATTCCTTTAATTAAAATATATCTTACAAAATATTTTATGATATGACATACCATTTACAAGTAGTTTACTATTAATGTAAATAAGTTAAAAGTAATTTTATATAGCTTAAACGTTTTTGAATATCAGTACATTAGTATATTCGACATTTTGAATGTGCAATATCAATTTAATGCAACTTTGGTGCGCGTTGTGCTGATTTGACAGTTGTCCTTTTTATAAAAAATATTATTGCTTAGATTTAATAAACGTGTTATATTACAGTATGTTTTATTTAGATGTCGTACCTTACATTTGATGTCACTGTATAGATGTGAATCTAGAGTAGAACTACACTGAACTGTCCTTTATTTGACAGTGACAGGGGGCCACCGTCTATAGCGGATCGCTAGTTCCGATTTTTGCCACGGTGGAAACCATGTAGTTGAACGAAGATAGTCGTCGGTGGGACATTTCAGTGTAGTTCATCTATACATTGTTTTGTGCTGAATTACTTTTTGGTAAATCTAATATTTGGATGACGTTGAAGGAGCTATTTTTGTTTTTTGTGGCACATTGCCGAAAAGCGATGGCTCGGTCTAACGCGGCCACGAGCGGCACTGGCTCAGTGATGACCCTTGTTGCAGGAGGAGACGCCGCAGGGCTTCTTCGAGGACCACGGCCTCGGCTAAGCCCCGCCCTCCGTTCGCCGCCCGCATCTGTGTACGCCTAATAACGCTGCAGATCTACGCGCCACCAGCTATCGTGTAAGCCACGGACACACTATTGTCATAAAATCTAACATTAAGCATCGTGTATTTAACATCTAAGCGTAAACACAAAGTAGACCTGTACTAGTGTTATTTTTAGTACACACAAGAAAATATTATAGCCCCAATTAACAAACATCTGCGATATTTAAAAATATATTTTGTAACAATGTAGAGGCGTAATTAATTAACTTGGGTTCAGTAACCTATTTCATTTTAGATCTTTTGTAGCTTAGTTTTAGGCACAATTTAGTTTGTGTATGAAACGTGTAATACACTGCATTTTTAGTTAAGATTCAAAGGCAGCTACGTACTTAATTTATTAGTTCCATGTCAAATGCACAAATTATTCCCTAATTTTTTGTATCTACATATTATTCTGTTTAATTTTATAACAAAACTACCACAAATCTATCAGACAGACTCTTCTCTGTTACTTCCGAAATGTTTTTATTTGAAGTATTGTAAATATTTATTATGGTCTGTGCCAAATTGATGTATGTTCCATGCTCTTGCTGACTTCCATGTTGACTAGTTATTAATTCAATGGAAATGTATTCTTTCTCGGTTCAAGTTTTACTACATAAGAGTATTTTGTGCATTTATTATAATATCAAAAAACTACCTATTAGAATTAAGATGTTCAGTCTAAATACGTTTCCTATCAACGGCCAGTGCAACTTAAATATTTTATAATGATCCTTCGCACTCGAGAATCCTTCCATATCAAACTTCATATCTAGCCGGTATCACGGATTTGATAAAGCTTCCGTAGACTTTCTACACGCCACTGGAACAAGGGCCTAATTTCAGGACAAATGTACTAGATTTATCACTCGGAATTGAATTTAACTGAAAATAAAGTATTGCGTAACAAAAACGTCGTTTCAGTTCATCATTAAATATATTTCCAAAAAGCTTAATAAATAATAAATCCACAATATCGCGTACAAAGTTTATAAATTCATCAAAATATAAGACTCGTTTCACAGTCTTCGATACATTTGAATCAGAATACAATCTTAAATGCTAAAGCCATAACAGAGTAGATACAGCCGGTATATCTTCAGTGTGGCCGAAGTGCGCTTAGATATAGAACATAATAATATAGGTGATATAAGATATAAAAGTGGGCCTAGTGCCAGCCGGTACAGTGTTAGTTTTCTGATATGTCAGACTTTCCCTCGGGGGTGGTTTTGACGATGGTGGTGGTGGAGGGGGCTGAGGGGCTGGCGTTGTGCGCGGGGGAGGGGGCAGGCGGGGCGGGCTCCGCGGGGGCAGGGGTTGGGACAGGGGGCTCCTGCTGCTCGCTCGTGACCTTGGCCAGGTGCAGCGCCGCCATCAGCGCCGTCACGTAGCGACGCACGTCCAGCTCAATACCTGTCAATATAAAAGCTACAATAGGCTAGTTTCTTTAAAAAAATGTTTTTAGTCCGTCAATTTTAATATTAAAAAGATATTGGACACATATTTTTATTTGTCAATCAAACAATTACAAAGTTCCGCGCGACGTCACAAAGTGCTGCACTTTCACGCACTCGCTGACGTCACGAGCCTTTTCTTTAGAACTTTGGCACGCTTTATCACTTTACATTATCATTAGTTTTAAAAAGTGAAAAATACGTGTCGAGTAGTTTTTGATAAGCTAACTGACGGACTATTTAAAACTCTTGCTTTTTTACCCAGGAAACATCCCTATTATTTTTTGTCCATTGAAGATAGAAGTTGTAGCAAGGGGATTACTGATCGCCTCATTGTTGCGTTTCGCACTAGAGCCTGACTGTTGGGATATACACGTTCTTGGGTGAAGACCACGCGCCGTAAGAAGTCATTGCAGGCAAGCCTCTCACTCAGTGGACTGGTAGGTAAGATTGCGGGAAGCGCAGGACTAGTTGTTGAAATCCTTATCGTATGTCCGATGGTCCAGCAAAGGCGGTTTTTTGTTGAAGAAAAGGAAGAAAGTGATGATCACTTAGATCAGGGGTTCCTAAAGTGGGGGCCCCCCGGGGGAGTCGATAAGACCTTTAAACCCCCCTTAAAGGTCTTATCGACTACTACTACTAGGCGCGGGCCATCTGTGGAGTAAGGATTTTTAATCCTGCGACCGCTGAGAGAATACATTCCAGACTGCTTGATACGACTAATAAATTCTCTGGACTGGAGGATGGGGGGCGCGGATTTTTTTATGGTCAAAAGGGGGCACTTCTCAAAAAAGTTAGGGAACCCCTGACTTAGATACCGACCTGAAGACCTGAGCTCCGTGACCTTGTAAGCGAGGTTGGCCCACACGCGGCGAGCCGCCACCGCGCTCAGGCGTCCCACAGTCTGAACCGTGTGTAGGGTAGGGTCTTCAGACGCCGCCGTCACCTCGCCTGTGGAACAAAACGATGGTCAATGAAACATTCTAAAATAATCTTCAGTCAAGTCATTGTTTTAAGTCCAACTTTGTAAAGTTTCAGCTAGTTATCTAACTACTTAAGGTGGCTAAGGCTGAGTTGCACCATCTGACTTTAACCGGTGTTTTTTGTATGGAATTTAATAAACTTTTGACGTTTGTTAAAGTTAAAGTGAGATGGAGCAACACAGCCTAAGAATATCAGTTAGATACTTAAAAAACTAGCTACCTACTAGGAGTTGATCGGCCAGAAAGCTATTTTGTATGGATTTATTTGAATCAAAACGGCATGTTCGTTCGTTATCTCGCTCATATTTGCAGCGTTGCAACGACATTTGATTCAACAATATCGAGATAATCTTGTAAAATCTATTTGTATAAACGCTTTTATAGCCGTTTACTTCTACGTTCATCTATGTATCTACATCTTTTAATACAGGATCGCGTGACTGAGTCGTAAAGCGCGTTTGATATGCACACAGGTCAAGCCAAAGAGCAATAGGGTATCTCATTAGATGTAGAAATGATTTCTATTTCATACAATACCATATAAAATTAAAAGCTAGATATTTTGATTAATAATTCTGTAATTGGTTACTAAGCTGTTTTGTTTAGCCTAGCAACGAGAGGATAATTGCTTGAAAACATCCATGACTCAGATACAAATACTCGTGCGCATCACGCAAACATTTAGCACATCCTAACTACGACTTTATCGATTACATTTATTGATGAGTACATTCACCTCAGTAAATGCTTTTGCTATTATTATTTCTAGAGAGGTAGTTTGAAATCTGATTGCGAACTACGAAACACCTCCCATAAAAGAGCAGTTAAACCGAGGAAACTACCAATTGAGTCTCATGGTGTCGGACAATGTAAGATCCAGAAGCATAGCTTCATATGTATGGTCTTCTAACCGGCAGCGGTGGACCAGGCGCGGATCCACCGTTGTGGGCACTGTGGGCATGCCCACAACCCTAATTTGCTTGTTTTAATTATGATCTATTGATAAAATCGATAGGCTGATGATAAAAACGGCTGACTGGTGATGAGCCTTTAAAAAATCGAGCGTGATTGAGCGTGAGTTCGTACTCCAATCCAACTCCCACTTTGCTAATTTTTGGTGGCTGTGCCCACAACCTTTTTTGAGGGCTGGATCCGCGCCTGCGGTGGACAGCAGCGCGTAGGCCTTCGCCCCCGTCTAGCGTCTTACCTGTCGGCTCGGGCTGCGGCCCGACGGGCGGCAGGTACTGGTCCAGCAGGCGCATGGCGAGGCTGGCGCCGGAGTCCAGCCCGAGCACCGCCTTCTGGCCCGCGGCGGTGGACAGCAGCGCGTTGGCCTTCGCCCACGATAGCTCCTTCAGCGAGTGCACGCGTTGCTCCGCCGCTGCGCGCGCCACGCACACCTGAGAAAGAAAGAAGCAGCTATGTAGATCCTGGACACAGAAGAATTGCAGGGATGTGACCGTGGGAGCAAGAGGTGAGAATGATTCCTTTGTACCTTTAAGATCTTGTACACAAACAAACATAGAGCCCTCGAGAACGTCTTCCCAGACTTTCCAAAACCAGTTTTTTTCTTCCAGTAGATACGTTTTGGAGAACTGCTATGGGGCATAGCTCTGTCTATCATTGATCTAGACGCTGACGACGATTACTCCTTTAAATTATTCAAATTTTTGTCCGATTTTAAATTCTACAAGAAGTTAATATACATTGTTGGAGTCAATGTCATACAAGTCAAATTTATAATTAGATAAACGTGTTTAATTATATTATTTCCATTCACTATCACTCAGGCTAAAAGGAAACAAATATTAATTATTATTTCAGAAGTTGAGTTGGTTTTGCGGAGGTCATTATTACATACATATAAATACATATGGGTAGATTTAGTTAAAAGTCATTTGACTCATCTTTTGTATCGTCATTATCGCGTCGTGTCTACAACTATAGGATAATAAATAACTTCGGTAGCCAAGGCTTTTTCCCATTCCGGTTCAATATCCAACATCGGTACGTAGCACCCACAATCTTATCGTCATTGATGACGGATCCTGTATGCTCGTATCAGCACGCTGCATATGAACCGGACCGAAAGATAACGATATCGATGTGGTGATATCATTCCTCGGTATTATATTGGTATTTTTAATAACATTGATAAAATTATGTACCTATTATGAACACGATTTACACGAGATTTTCTAGCTTATTCCGAAAACGTAACATTCAAGGCTCTTAAAAATTATTTACATTCAGCAAACAGTTTTTGTTTTTAATAGAAAATATGATGTAAATTCTATTTTGTGGCAAAATATCTTGCTTGTTATATTTATGTGACTTCCCGCTTTGCAAACAATAAAAAAGAAAGAAACACGTATTAAGGAAATGCAGTAGTGTTTGAAATTAAGCCAAATTAATTGTGCATGGCCTGCATAGTTTACTGCATCAATTAAACATGTATGTCGAAATCGTCTCGTACGGGCATTCCACTCATGCACTCGTGTGTTAAACGCAGCTGCATTATTTATAAATGATCGCTAGGCTATAATTAGGCACCAGGTTCCAACATGTTACGCATTTACTTGAACATTATGTATGATTATTCTCTGACCAGCCTATGCATGGTACAGTCAACAGCACATAGACTAAATTGTTGCTGCAAAATTGATCTAAATAACACGCTGTTTAAGATTCCACAGTGTATATGTTTATGTGCTGTCGTCTGTACAACCGCATCAAGGTCTACAATTAAAACGCATATGTTATTTGATAAGTATGTCAGCAGAGGTATTTTGCATAATGCTGGTTTATCCATCTCGTAGATATTGATTACATGGACAACTTTCCTATTTAACCGTAATTTTAATGCCGAGTGGGAACTTATCCACTTTTTCATTGTGTAAACTAAAACTGTGCTTAGATTACTGATAGTTTTTATAAAATACGAGTAGAATAAGGCGAATTACTATAAAATCACCAAATTACAGATTCCGGTAATTTAAAAGTTATTTTTGTTTAAGTAGATTGGTTTTACTTCAGCTGCATAAGTAGATAATTAATTTTGTTCCCATTTCAATTTGTAATGCAATTTATTTTCATGACATTCTACACACATGGCGGTAATTTTGTGCTTAGGTACTGCACCTAATTTAAGAATATGCTTATCAAAAGCAAGTCTGATAGGTACAGTAGCTTTCTTTCAGCTACCCAAGCTATTATTTCAGGGATATTTTCTCCTGATGATTCCTTATTTCCATCGTAAAAAAGTGAGAAAGTAATGTTTACAAACGACAAAATCTTTGACCTAAAATAAGCGCCGATGTGGCAGATTGCCAGATGCATATTAAACAAAAATATGCACATTGCATTTGTTGTATTTCTCGTGCGTGACCCCAGTTCCAAGTTTGGGTGATGTCATGGTTATTTGTTGCTAATTCAATTCATATGACTACATTTTCGTTTTTACCACATAAATGATATTTTCGTAATTTGCCAGGAAAGTTTTGCTGTTTTGCAATATGATTGATATTTAAGTTGGACTTGAACAATATTTTAATTTGCTACGAAAATGTATAAGCCCGATGTCTGGTCGACACCTCGTAAAACAAGTTACGTAATTATTACTATTTTGAGACCATGATAATTAGTGTGTTGTTTTTCTGGCACATATGGTATCTATTTAGCTCACAGGGCGTTTGTGTTATAAGAAAACGGTAAACTCAACCGTATGTTTTGAAACATTGGACCGTGGACCGCGCGCCTGCGCGACACCCGGCGTTTCCTGCGCGCACGCACCGTGACTGTGGGCGAGTGATAACAAACATCCGGTTCACGCACTTGCCGCTGAAAGGGCTGACCTTTGATGCCCATGCAATCCGGCGATATATTATGCATGACTCTTGTTTGGAAATGTACTGAGATATACCAACCTTGGCGGAACACGAAAGTTTTTTTTTTGGGATACCTTAATTTTTTTCTTTATTCTTCAGCGATCGTGTGTAGATTGCTGATGATATTGCAGAATTGCATAAGAATATGATTTTTTTTATATGGTCAATCAGTGCCAATACTGACACCCTATTATTTTGTAACTTGTATGGAACCCTAAAAAGTATTTAATGAATAAATTAAACCTATTAGAAGTTTGTGATTGTTAATTAATATCTCCATTCTGTTTATTTTCTAAACTGGTCTGATGGCGCTGCAGCTGCTAGTTATAGGCATAGCATTTCCTTCAACTACGTCAAGTATGTTAGCCTCGAGCGCCGCGGGCCCTCATCATAGGAAATAATTTAGCTAACAGCCAGCTAACAAGTGAATAATGAGATAAGTAGGCAGAGAGAAACGAAGTTAATCTGGAAAATAATATTTCTATATGGAAGTGAATATGTTTTTACTTTTTGCACTCAAACCAGTGTTTTCTGTGGTAATATTTAATTACCTACTGTTATCTGAATTTAAAATAGTGTGTATCCGGTTTCAGGTTGTTTTGATAAGATATTTTGAAGTTTCACCTTTGTTTGGATTAAATGCTAACAAAAGAAGAACGGTCACGCCCCATACAAAAAAAACCCAGACCCGACCGATTTACCAATTTTGGTGATAAATAGGCATTTTGTATTAGTTTTTGTATGACGCCTGAACAAAAACAAAGGGTAATAATTTGGTGTTATACATAGATTTCGAACATAAAAAATATATAATTTAACTAATTAAGACATGACAAAAAAACTGAGGTGTGTCTCGTTTCTGTCGGGTCTGGGTCACAGATGACCGTTCTTCTTTGATAAGTATTTTTTAAAGGAGAACAACCACTTTCTATGAAGCGTTGGGCCCAGTACTAAGTTATTTGTACAGCTACAAATTTTATGTCGTTTTTATGCCTTCATAAACTAGTTTATTATTGTGTTTATTTGAGGTTGCTAACTAGTGTCATTCTCGAGAAAACTAAATCAGAAAAAACTAGAAAAATGTTACTTTTATACAAAATCAAGTCGTCAGTTACCCAAATCGCAAGCAGAATCCGTTAGAAATAGCATAAAATGTTATTAATCGATAGTTTTATTTCTTCTTCTTCTTTTAATTCGTTTTAATTCAATTCAACAAGCATTCGCAACAGTCTCATCCTTACCAGAAGGTGGGTAGCCCCTACACCCACTAAAAACCTGACTGTTTCTGCCATGATCCATATGAGTGATATGAGGGAACGCGGGACATCGCCATTGGCTGTTGCCTGTAGCATTCGTCCTTAGCTGCCACCAGACACCTCCATGTCTAGCGACCGAGGCCTGTTAGGAAGGGACAGTTGGAGACCATAAGCTGTCCTCTTGCGCCCAGGGTGTCGGCGGCGGTCTCTCTCTCGCTCCCCCTTTCCACTGCTTCTTTCTGTGAAAGAACACTTTCACAGAAAGTAAGCACACTATACCATAAGATTATTTGTCTCATCATTTATACTAGTGTAGATATTGTTTCCGAAAGCGAGCGGGTTCATTCCGTACCTTCATGCGTTTTCTAGCAAAAGCTGAAAATCAGTGTTCTGCCCTTTTGAGGGTAGTGTTTATACTGAGCTCTTTNCTATTTTGAGACCATGATAATTAGTGTGTTGTTTTTCTGGCACATATGGTATCTATTTAGCTCACAGGGCGTTTGTGTTATAAGAAAACGGTAAACTCAACCGTATGTTTTGAAACATTGGACCGTGGACCGCGCGCCTGCGCGACACCCGGCGTTTCCTGCGCGCACGCACCGTGACTGTGGGCGAGTGATAACAAACATCCGGTTCACGCACTTGCCGCTGAAAGGGCTGACCTTTGATGCCCATGCAATCCGGCGATATATCATGCATGACTCTTGTTTGGAAATGTACTGAGATATATCAACTTTGGCGGAACACACATTTTTTTTGGGATACCATAGTTTTTCTTTATTCTTCAGCGATCGTGTGTAGATCGCTGATGATATTGCAGAATTGCAAGAGAACATGATTTTTTTTATATGGTCAATCAGTGCCAATACTGACTCCCTATTATTTTGTAACTTGTATGGAACCCTAAAAAGTATTTAATTAATAAATTAAACCTATTGGAAGTTTGTAATTGTTAATGGATATCTCCATCCTGTTTATTTTCTAAACTGGTCTGATGGCACTGCAGCTGCTAGTTATAGGCATAGCATTTCCTTCAACTACGTCAAGTATGTTAGGCTCGAGCGCCGCGGGCCCTCATCATAGGAAATAATTTAGCTAACGGCAGCCAACAACTGAATAATGAGATAAGTAGGCAGAGAGAAACGAAGTTAATCTGGAAAATAATATTTCTATATGGAAGTGAATATGTTTTTACTTTTTGCACTCAAACCAGTGTTTTCTGTGGTAATATTTAATTACCTACTGTTATCTGAATTTAAAATAGTGTGTATCCGGTTTCAGGTTGTTTTGATAAGATATTTTGAAGTTTCACCTTTGTTTGGATTACATGCTAACAAAAGAAGAACGGTCACGCCCCATACAAAAAAAACCCAGACCCGACCGATTTACCAATTTTGGTGATAAATATAGGCATTTTGTATTAGTTTTTGTATGACACCTGAACAAAAACAAAGGGTAATAATTTGGTGTTATACATAGATTTCGAACATAAAAAATATATAATTTAACTAATTAAGACATGACAAAAAAACTGAGGTGTGTCTCGTTTCTGTCGGGTCTGGGTCACAGATGACCGTTCTTCTTTGATAAGTATTTTTTAAATTTTTGATACTTGGCAAATCTTTAATTAATCTCAACTTTTAACTAATTTGAAAATCGCTTGCAGACATCATATTATATAGAATGTTGTAGAACCTTCTTTTAGTATCTTCTTTTACTGCACACAAACTGAGTATAAGTTCTTGAATAACTTTAATAATTTATTAATGAGCCATTAATATTGTGAGTTGATGGTGAAGATAAATTGTGTGTTTTAAAGGCATTAAATTATGATGACGGTGTTATAAGCAATGCTTAATTAATGCAATGTAAAATTTACCTTATTAACATGCGGTGAGATTCTCGAGAGCACAGCTTGCTTGGTGGTCTCGACGATGATCTTGGGCTGTTCTGTGACTAGCGGCACGCGGCGCTCCAGTTCACCGATATAGCCCGCCAGCTTGGCGTCACCGGCGGCGAGGGGCGCGGCCACGTATGGTGCTGCAGTCGTGGCTGCTAGGGTGACGCTGGCTTCTGCTGTTGATAGCGCCCACTCGAGGAGGGAATGTGCTCCTAAGGACCGATCAATAGGGATGATGAGTGGGTAAGGAAATCGAAATTCTATTTAGTCCGTCAGACAGATAATTAGAAAATATTACTCATATTTTTTATTTTTTTCCATAATCGAATAATTACAGTATTATATTGAGTTGAAATGTCGCGTGACGTCACTTTTGAGTAAAAATTCTACTCAAGTCTGACGGACAAATAATTGAAATTTTGTCATCTAGCCTATTAAGTGAGAATACCGGCAATCATAAAGGTACTCATTATTGAACAGTATTTTCATCAACAGTATTTGACTTGATAGCATTGAAAAACATTAACAAAGGAATGTCGATGGTGACTCCTTAGATGACTGACATGCATTTCTTTCTTTCTTTTAAATGTAACCATTGTATTGTCTTGTTTTGTGTGTTAATAAAGTTTATTTAAATGGGCAAGACAGGTGGAAACTATTAATTTATTATTATAGACTTTTTNGAATTTATAAAACATTTTTGCCTTCATTAGGTACTCCAAATTATTAGTATACAACACTAAATGAAAAGTTATGATTTTAGTGTAAATCATAGAAAATAAGTTGTTACCTTTAACTTTAGTGTAGAAAGCTCCCACTTGTCCAACGGCTGCCCCGACAGAGGGCAGGGCCATTGCCTTCTGCACCGACTGCAGCTGCGGCAAGCTTGGCGGACAACTCACTTCGGTGGCCATCTGAACAAAACATATTTTGTTTGTTATTCTGCTTATATTACTAAAACAAGTTTAAGAATGGCTCAGACTACAGAAATCTGAACTTTAATTTTGTTTTAGTTAGTAGCATTTCATTTAAACTGAAAGTTTTATGTAGACATACCTCCACACTCTCCATGTAAGTTTGGTTCCGTAATAATATCATATTTTCTTATACATACAATTGCAAGGTTTTAAAAAGTTAAATTAAGCTTTACAATTTTTTTATAATTACCCACAGTTGTAAAAAGTTTTTAGATTTTAAAATTATTTCTCTATCCGCAATAATATTTAAAGGAATTATTGTACCTATCACTCAGTGTGTTTTAAACGCAAACAATTTAAGTCAATTAGTAAGGCATGATTGCATCACTGTATGAAAGTTACTTCAAAGAAAACAACTGAAAACGGCTAAAGTGGAAAAGTTTAAAGGCGTCACAAAAAAACAAAGGAACTAAAGCGAATACAACGATATCTTAACGTTAAAGGGTCACTTTGAGTGCCTTTCCTAATCTACGATTATCGATAATGATACACAAGTTGATATTAATCCGCTTAAAATGACAAATACCTACGTACCTTTTAAGAAGTTGTAAATGTTCAAAGTCGTAGTTAGATGGCAAACAAAGTCACTTTACAACGTTGGATAGACTCTTGAATTGCTTGCTGACACTATGAAGTAGATCAAGTCCTTGTAAATAACTAAAAAACAAAGCAAAACTTGAACCGTCGATCAATGGCAGAAATTACAAAAAGACTGATTGAATTAAAAAAATTGCTGAGTGAGTGTACTACTGACTGACTTGACTGAACGAATGACTTAAACCAACTCACGACACGACCGAAAGAACTTTGTATTATAAGTAGAAAGATTAGATTATATTTTGTTATGGTTGAATCACTATTTAATAACCACGTCAGCTCTTATTTAATGACTATGATGATTTATTTAATAACGATGTTTGGATTTATAAATAAATCAACTTTCAAACAAAACAAAACTTTGTGACCGAACGTGTGAATGATTTCCGCCACAGTTAAGGAATTAAACAGTTAAACACCGGCAGACTGATTGAAACTGAGAGGAAAAACCACAGATATGGAAAAACACACAGAAAAATAGGGCTAACAACACAGATATGGATTAGAGTCTAACAACAAAAAAAAATTACACACCTGTAAATAAAAGTATCAACTTCTTGAACCTATTTACTTATAGGCTAGACCACAGATATGGATGGGCTAGACTTATTTCCCAATTTCTACTTCCATTCTATCCGTAGGTGACTTTATTCTAGGTACTTTTACCATTTGGTATGGTATGGGGAGAATCGTAGCCTAGGGGAACCTATTTATTTATTTATTATAAGTCACATACAGTTCATACATTTTGAGTTTGAACACCTGATAGGCTTTAGAATTTTATTGCGTCAAATAATAAGCTATCTATGCGCTGTGGGTGGTGTACAAGTCAAGTACAACGCTAGCACACTGGGGGATTTTTTATACCATTCATGTAGCTTTGAATAATTTACTAGCAACATTTAAGTGGACTTTGGATCTTGTTTGTGCATACTTCCGATGCGAAAGAAGGGCAATGTTTTATCCTTAATTGAATCATGATCATGCATGACTAACAGATTTCATCATCAAAGTAACGCTGTAGGTACTTTGCACTCAAGAAAATGTTGAGTAGGTACCTTATAAGTAAATAGGCTAGGCTAAAGTATGTAGCTGATTTGACCTAACATTACGTAACTCCGTGGCTTTTTTTCTTAAAAAGAGATGTAAATTACCTTAACCCATTTTTCGAAGAAGGTAGACTGCGTACCTAATTTTATAGTAACCTACTAACTACCTACCTACCAATCATGCCACTCCTCTGTTTTTTTTGACTTGACTCTGCTAATTTCCGCATAGTGTAAATCCGCCATATGAATATGTAAGCCAACCCTTGGCGAACATTGATCGGATAATTTCGTCACCGTCGTGGCAGAATTAAATAACTGACACTTTTGACAAAAACCACTTTTTCCACTTTTTGTATAGTAGAAAGTGTTACCTATATTTTGGTCTTACTCTCGTGGCAATATCTATGATATTTCCAAAGATATCTTCAGTTTAGTGAAACTATTGACCATAAATTACAACTCTGTTTGTTGTAGAATTTACGTGGCAAAACTGAATAAGTGACTTTATTTAATTCTGCCACAACTCACTGCTAAACATTGCTTCAAAATACTTGTACTAAGAAGTCAATAAGTGACTTTATTTAATTCTGCCACAACTCGATCCGAAACATTGCTTCAAAATACTCGTACAATTGTGTTTTTGATTTATTCAATTTTTGTAACATTACTTTAAATGTTACTTTTAATTTCAATGTTCATTACTCAGATGTTGAATCTGGATAGTTACCTTCATCATCATCATCATTCAGCTATTAGGACGTCCACTGCCGAGACCTCCCCCAATGATTTCCAATATGACCGGCTGGTAAAGGTCTGCATCCAGTGCTTTCCTGCTAACTTTATGAAGTGCACTTTGTGCTTTCCGGGGCAAAACCTTGCTGCCCCATCGTCTGTCAGTTCTGCGTACTATGTGCCCTGTCTCTTGTACAGAAAAACCGAGCATAGCCCTCTTCAAAGCACGCTGTGCAACTTTGAGCTTATTTATAAGGCCTATACGTAAGAGGCCGCGTTCCCGAGCCGTATATCATCAGTGGTAACACATACAGATTGTAGATTTTCGTCTTTATAGGCACTGAGATATTTAGTTTCCCGAATGCTGCCCAGCCGAGTTGGATTCGACCTCTTTCTCTACCTAGCTGAAACGTTGGTCCGAGGTAGACATACTTGTCAACAATCTCCAGATTTGAGCTCCTAACCGAAACTAGGTTGGGCGCAGCATAGACATTCGACAAAAGCTTCGTTTTTCCATATCGTTCACCCGAAGGCCTACCTTTTGGAAGATTAAGGTCTTCGAGCATTGTGCCGAGGTCTTCCAGTGTTTTTGCCATGATCAAACAATATCGTCGGCAAACCAAAGGTGAGTGATGTACTCGTCGTTGATGTTTATGTCGAATTCTTTCTATTCAAGGAGTTTGAAAGCGTCTTCCAATGCAGCGGTGAATAGTTTCGGAGGTCCGGAGATATAACATCTCCCTCATGTCTCGCTGCAGAGGAATCGCCCTCGTACTCCACTCCTATACTCGGACCAACATGGTGGCGTTTCTGTACAAGCACTTCAGCACCTCGATATGTACCGATACTTTTCAGAAACCGGCTTGTTCGGGAGGCTGGAAGTCATCGAAACTACGCGCGAGATCATTCGTGATAACTTTCGAAAACAGCTTGTAGACATGACTCAGAAGCGAGATGGGTCAAGTAATTCTTCAGCAAGGTTTAATCCCCTTTCTTGAAGAAGAGTACCACCACGCTTCTGTTCCATGCCTCTGGCGTTGTTCCCTGGAGTAAGACGAAGTTAAATAGTCTCTGAAGGACTTGACTTCAGTATCGGTGTTCCATCCGCGTTCAGAAGCTCCGAGGTTATTCCGTCATCACCCGGTGCCTTGTTGTTCTTTAGGTGTTTGAGAGCCATCCTAATTTCGTACAGGCTGATAATGCTGATATCCACAATATCTTCGTTGAGGTATATAGCTGTCCATAAAACTTTTCAATCTCACCCAGAATCTCGGCTTTTGTTGACGTTACACTACCTTCCGCAGTCTTCAGCTTCGTCAGCTAGCTTCGCCCAATACCTAGAATTGTCTCTTGCGAACACTTTCGAGCCTTGGTTCCGCTCTATCGCCTCTTTAATACTATTTGTATTAAAGTTACGAACATCATGTCGCAAGGACTTCCATATCTGTCTATTGAGCTGCCGATGTGCCTTAGCGTCAACGGAGATCTGCAATGACATTGAACGTCGTTCTGCCATGACGTTGAGGGTAAGGGATCCCTATGGATCCTTAGGGAGAGATCCCTATTACAGTTTTATTGTTTTTGGATTATTTTAATTTTGATATTCATTTGGATGTTGGTTCTTTCAATTTAATTTGAATGTTATAAGAATCTGATGTTGATGGTTACCATACCAATTTGTTAAAAAATTATAAGTATTAAATAAGTAGGTATATTCTAGTATTATTTAACAATTTTACAGATTTTGACTAAAATTGCATTGACAAAACAAATAAAATAAAATGAATAAATCAACATTTAGGTCAATAAAAGTGTGGCAAAATTAAACAAGTGTACTTATTCAATGGAAATATTCGTTTTTGTAATACCTTGGTTGAGGCAAAACTAAATAAGTGACATACAAAAACTAAATAACTGCAACTTAATTGTAAAATACGGTTGTGGCAAAACTAAATAATTACATTTTTATTTTTTTATTTAAAATAATACAAAGTAACATCATCGAATACTGTTGAATTAATAAAGGTAAATTTGCTGTATAAAATATCAAAAGACCTACAGTAAAATATTTTAACCCTTAAAAGTTATCGCCATTTTTAACGAAAAAAAACACAAAACCGTGAATATCTCGCAACTTTGGTTTTGTCAGTTATTTAATTCTGCCACGACGGTGACGATTTGTGGACCGAGGCCAACAACACACATACCAACATTGGATAGACGGCTGAATCTGATTGGCTGTTGGCCTCAGTACCATACTGCACACATGAGTGTGTAGACGCTTTCTGTGTGTGACTTTTAGTGAAATAAGTTCTATAAGTAGCGATGTCGTGGAGTAACGATACTGTATTAGAATTCATAGAACTTTACAAAAAGGAACAAATACTTTGGGATCCAAAACATCCTTTGCATAGAAATAGAAGTGAAATTACGGATGCTTGGCTTCGAATACAAATGTCTTTGAGCATAAATTGTACGATCCCTGACCTCAAAAAGAAAAAAGAGTCTCTGATGACGTCGTTTAGGATGCATTTAAACAAAAAGAAAAATCAAGAGGGCTATCACACGCCATGGTTTGCCTATCCGCTGATGGAAAGCTTTCTTGGCGGGAGATACGAATGCGACAGTACAAATCAAATGGAAAGCGAGGTATTTTGNCCGTCACCTTATATCACGTGATATTTTGTTTTCTTAAACAATATACAAAAATATTAAATCATTTTATTTACTTTTTAGTTAGTAAACTAATTCATTTCCCGGATTTATGTTACCTAAAAAGTTTTGGACATTGGCCAAACTATGGCAAATGTTATGCCAAATGACAACCAAGGAAGGACGCAAACAGCTGTGCGTTTACATTGTGGTTTACGTGTTGTAGGCTGCTCTGTGCGCACCACGTCATTGGTTGTGCGTAGCGCTTTATGTTTTATGGCTTTTTTATTAAAACAACTATAAAATAAATAGGACTTTGGCATTCTGACCTTCAGGCCCTATGGACCTTTGGATGTCGTATTAATGATGTTTTCGAGCAAACGTGGTGACTAAGACAGCGTTAATATTGTTGACTCAAAGTACCAACCTATCCCAACTAATCCCAACTAGTCCCAACTAATATTATAAATGCGAAAGTAACTCTGTCTGTCTGTCTGTCTGTCTGTCTGTCTGTCTGTCTGTCTGTTACGCTTTCCCGCTTAAACCTCGCAACCGATTTTGATGAAATTTGGCATAGAGATAGTTTGAGTCCCGGGAAAGAACATAGGATAGTTTTTATCCCGGTTATTGAAGCAGGGACGCGCGCGATAAAGTTTTTCTGTGACAGACAAAAATCCACGCGGGCGAAGCCGCGGGCGGAAAGCTAGTTGTTAATAAGTATTGAGTTTTGCATTCAATTATCTCTGGAAATGAAATTAGGTAGGTAGGTACCTACTACCTATAGGAATTTGATATAGTTATTATCACTGAAGTAAGACTTATACGAAGTAGTTAGTAATTATTGATAGATAGACGAGAAGTTATTATAAGTCGTGTGAAGCTAAACTTTTTTATAAGTTTTTTAAATTAGCCGGCTAATCGAACCATGACCTTGTTTTTCGGTGGTAGATGAGTTGAGTTGCATACCTGCCACTGTCACAAACTGTGGTCAGGCGGCGGGTAGGATATTATTAGTAGGTACCTATACTTATTCGAGTTAGAAGTAAGTAGGTAAGTGGTACTATGACTGAGGATTTTTTTAAGGTCCATGATGAGGTTTGATTTTGCCATGAGTGCCGTGGGGATAGGTATAGTTTAAATCCTAGTCGGGTCAATTCGTACCTGGGTGAAAATTCTGATACGTTAGGTACTAGGATAATTATAACGAACGAAACCCTTACATCGATCGAATGTTGACATTCTTGTATTTTTGTTCCAGTTCTTTGACACATCTTACAACTCGCTACAAGTGAGCGACCACAAAAGTCGAACCACCGCCCATTGTATTCGAATCAACGCAGATGGGTCGCCATACAAACCCGCTGGAAGCGCAGCGCAGTCCCAGAGCAAATGTGGTACTGAAATTTACATCAAGAAGAACCCATCAGACACATCGAAGTTGATAAAAAATAATGCTGAGAAGCGCGAAGCCGACGAATACGACCTATACGGCCAGCTTTTGGCGAAGAAATTAAGGAAACTGGATGAGCACCAGCGTGACGTCACTATGCACGAGATAGACAACATCATGTTTCGCGCCAAAATGCAGAGCTCGTCGCAGGCCGGCAGGTACTCCCCGCCTTCCCCGGCGCAGAGGAAAGTGAAGTCTCCTGTGTTCATTGTCACTCACTCTCAAAGCCGCCTGGAGTATGAAGACGAGAACGTACCATACCAAGATCAACTGCAGTGTAGTGTATGACACACCTCTCCTTAGGCATAGTTATACTTATAAGTTAGCTGTAAGCCATTTTAAAGTAGTATTAAACCGATCGTCGACCAATTAACATCTTTTATTCCATCTCCTTGGTCCCCACATTACATGGCGACCCTGCCAGTGCTGCCTTAGGGCAGTGCTGTGCACATAATAAAATGTTAATTTCGTGTACAAGTGAAAAACTAAAGTCGGACAATTATTTGAAATGATGATGTGGTAAATACTATCTACGATAAATAAAAGTAAATCAAGTGCGTTGGAGGAGACATTTTTATGGCAGCCGGGCGATGATGGTGCTCAAGGTTTTTGAAAATGAAGCTGAATTAATGGAATAAAGGCGAGTTATGCTGGGTGCCGGGCGATGGTAGGAGTCCGATGTCGATGATGTTTGTTGCTGGGCGCTGGGTGTTGTTAGAGCCAGGAGAAGGACATAGGATACTTTTTATCCCGTTCGAAATTAAAAAAAAGTCTGCTTATTTATTGCCATTAAGGCGGAACAAAGTTCGCCGGGTCAGCTAGTTTGGAATAATTGGAATATTCATAGATATTTGGATAGTCATTATTTTACATTGTATTTTACAACTACCTACCTAGTTGATTTAAAAATTTTACTCTTTACCAGCCGTTTTTTTTTAATCAGGCCATATTTCAATACGATCTACAGATTTATGTTTTTTCTAATAGACATAATAATATGTACTTATTTAGATCTAGTTTTATTCAGCAAAAAAAAAAACTTGTAACAAAATGTAAAGTGAAATATGTATTTTCAACAGTACATTACTCCGACATGTTCTATTTAATTGTATTAAATTCAAAATAAAAATGTATACTTAAAACAAACAATTGGAATCAATAACATAACAATAATTTTCTAAATTTTTATTCTATTTGGTTTAACTAATTTAAAAAAAAAATGATAACACTTTTTTTTTCTCAAAATTACGGGGGTGGTGTAGTGTATGACACACCTCTCCTTAGGCATAGTTATACTTATAAGTTAGCTGTAAGCCATTTTAAAGTAGTATTAAACCGATCGTCGACCAATTAACATCTTTTATTCCATCTCCTTGGTCCCCACGTTACAGCAGACCCAACCACCTTCTTAAGACTATTTCCTGCCTATTGATTTTCCTACCTACTTATTGATTTGTGGGTTATTTTTTTGTGGGTTCAATTCCCGCCTTAGGCAATTCGATTTTTTCAAGTTATTTATCATTTTCAAANTTTCCTAATTACTTATTGATTGTTCTAAAAATAGGTTACTTGTTGTTACTAGATTGTGCATAAATATTTTTATAGATTTTGATAAATAATTAATAAGTTAATTTATTAAAATGTGATATGAATAGATCTATTTTAAATAACTAGAACATTTCGTCATGGTGTAAGTACCTATATGTACCTACCTACCTACTTTTATTGCGTTAGTATTTTAGTAGTTTTGAAAAAAGGTGCATCATACTTATTTAGTTAAACTAGTAAAAAAATCTGATTATTTATAAAATAAAAATTGTTTCGGTAAAGGGTGGGACTTTTTATTTTGTAATGTGATTAATAAGAGGGCCCGCTGTACTTACTATCAGCTATCAGTAAGAGTAACCTAAGCACGAATTAACTCTTGTAATTGTCAATAATGCGGATTAATGCGTCGTTCCATTGTTTGTTAGGGCAATGGATTGTTTGCTGTCGCAAGATATTTTTTTTGTAATTTATTTGCGTGAAACTAACTATGAAAATAATGTTTAGCCTCTAGCTTTTGTCGAAAGACATCTTTTTATAGTTTATATAATGCAAATTAAATCATTCAAGATTGTGTTCAAGACTAGAACAACTTAAACTCAATAGCTAGGTACTACTACGAGAGTTATTCGTTCTTGGGGCACCCGATTTGTGAATTTCATAAATTAAGTAAGTACCTAGTTACATCTATACTTATAATAAATCTGTAGAGAGGTCAATTCTGTACATGAAATATATTTTCAAAATAACTATCAGGGGGTGATTAGTGATCGATACTGATGCCAAAAATGCAATCAGTAAAATTTTTGTCTGTCTGTCTGTATGTTCCTTATAGAAACAAAAACTACTCGACGGATTTTAACGAAACTTGGTACAATTATTCTTCATGCTCCTGGGCAGGTTATAGGATACTTAGGAATTCCCACGGGACCGGGAATTAGCGGGAAAATCTTTTTGTATGAAAAATCTAAACTGCTTAAGTTAGACGCTTGAAATTTGGCATGCAGGTACCTTAGTAAACTTAAAGCTTAGTTACAACAGGATATTGCAAAATTCCCACGGGAACGGCAGTTAGCGGGAAAAAACATTTGTATGAAAAAATCTAAACCGCGTAAGATAGACGCTTGAAAGGCATACAGGTACCTTAGTAAACTTAAAGCTTAGTTACAACAGGATATTGCAAAATTCCCACGGGAGCGGGAGTTAGCGGGAAAAAACATTTGTAAGAAAAAATCTTAACCGTGTAAGATAGATGAAGGGGGTAAAACGGGATCCACGCGTACGAAGTCGCGGGCGGCCGCTAGTATTTCAATAAAAATAGGTGCTCAGTGGAAACGGCGTGGGCAGGCCTCCCATTAGTTGGACCGACGATCTGGTGAAGGTCGCGGGAAGAGCCTGGATGCGGGCAGCGCAGGACCGGTCGTTATGGAAATACTTGGGGGAGGCCTTTCTCCAGCAGCAGTGAACGTTATTTGGCTGAAATGAACGAACGAAATAGGTAGGGATTTCCGAACGAAAGTATGAGAAAATGTCAAACATGCGTCAGTGATGTCAAACATTTCTTTTCTAGGGCTGAACAAACAATCGACAGTTAGATATTTATCGACAGTCGATCAATTTTAATAAATTAAATTTTATGTCAAAAACCCGATGTGTAACAAAATTCTTCATATACATACCTAAAATGTATACCTACATATTCGTAAATCGTACTTCATGTTCATTAAATACAATTAAAGTCATTAATTAAAACTTCCCCAGGGCCCCGATTGCGCTAATTTGTAATGTCTCTAATTCATTGGTGCTTCTTCTCCAGTTGCGCCAAAAATAAGAATAAGTACCTTCTACGTAGTTGCGCTCCGTTTTTCATTCCAATTGAGATGCAAATTCGGTATCGCAGTAAAGTTCACGCGCAAACAAAGACGAAACAACGGATTTAATTACTTTTCAAAAGTCCGAACCCTGGCGGTCTTGATGTACGCTGAGCGGGTGCCTTTTTGTCAGAGGGGCACAAGCAGTTAATTGTCCACTTGTTTATTTCTCTCTGTTTTAATCTATGTCTTACCTGCTTGTATACCTTTCTTGCAAATAAAAAGTTTTCTATTCTAATTTTTTCACTAAAACAGCAAATGTCCGTGAAGGCGTTTGATTCGAGTTTGACGTCTAGTCGCGTTGTAGTAGTTGAAAATATTTAGCGCAATCGGGGCACAGTATTGTACACAACAAAGTTTATTTTCCCCTGAGAGATGAGATTCTGGTAAACCTAATGAGGGTTTGCGCGAATGAAAGATCCGCTAGATGGCGGGACGTGGATGTGGGGTCTGACTGCTGCGTGATTGGTGGATTTTGACATATCTGTCAATGTCATGTCAAAAATAACCAATCATGCAGCATTTGGACCTCGCATCTACGTATTGCCATCTGGCGGATTTTTCATTCGCGAAAACCCTCATTAAACTACAACATTGACAAATTGTCTATGAACAGTATCGATACAATTAATGACAGTAAACATTGAGCAGGTACAACACTAACACAGCTGTTTTCCCTGTCACATACGCAGTGGTTTGTTTCACAGTTTGTTTTGCTTTTGCAATTGCAAGTTTTATCGTAAAATTAATTCTAAATGAGGTCTCTTTCAATAAATTGTGAAATTTTATTGTGATCAGCTGCTTAAATTAGTGGCATCATGGCTACTATGGTAAAGGAAAAACGTCGCGAGGTACGTAATACCAATATTTGACTTTGCCTGGTCTTTGTTCTAAAGTTGTATTTTGCGCAGCCTAAAATAAACCAGGTTCCTTTTTTACTTTTCCAGAAAAAGAAAACTAAACAGAAACATGAACCCAAACCTGTTTTCATTGCGGAATCTACATCAGCTGCTAATTTGCCTATTGTTGAAGAAATACAAATCTCCAAAGTTGCTGAGGTAACTTTAGGTGATGAATCGAAAAGCACAAGCTCATTGGAAGATAAGCTTAAATCGGAAACAGTAAATGTTATTGAAAAAGAAATCAACTTAGACTCTGATGCGTTTTCTAAAGAAGAAGAAGCCATACCTCCAGAAACTGGACCCAAAGAGATTTTATGTAAAGAAAAAAATGTTGCCACAGAAGCAATGCCATCGGCTCAATCTGCAAATGCGCCTGACCATGCTTATACTGACTTGAATTTAAAATTGGAAAGAATGTGCATACCAGTTAACCCAGTTCCAGTATCTAAAGAAAGGGAATTTTCAATGGGGGCAGAAAGTGCTTACTTGGTTAAAGAGGTGACAGATCAGGTAGTTGTATCTACATCTATAGTTCCATTATCTAATGAAACTTTAATGGACAATGCAAGTGCACATATAGTTTCTGAAATGGAAGATATATCACCATCAGCCCCAACGTTAGAATATTCGGAACCACAGGTTTTTTATCAAGAGGAAGTGATAGCGCCTGAAGTTCCAAAACTGACGAGTTTACCTCTGGAAGAGGCCATCAGGGTGTATGGAGGGGCAGAAATGGCTGAAGTCATGGCAATGAGTGAGAGAGAGGAGGCTATTGTAGAAGCTGGTGACATGAGTGGCCCAGAACACCCACTTGTTGATTTCCTATCCACATTCAAGTATGTATAAATATAAATAAATCACTATGAAAGCAATCTACATAGTTGGCTATATAACTATGTAGATTGCTTTTTATTAACTTTTTTAGTAAACAAATTATTATTGGTTGCACCATATTGTAAAATGCAAATAACAATAAAAGTCCCTCATTAGCTTATCTTGGTAGTAAGCATTTATAGTTTCATGATGCAATCATATGGCAATTTACAATAACTTTCTACCATGTTTTGAATATTGATTGTTTTCAGGTTGATTCTACTTTATTTAGGCAGAACCTCTTATGAAAATGTTACATTTGATTCCAAGGCTGGGTTGCACCATCTTAGTTTAACTTGGAAAAACTTCAAAAATCTGTTACACTCCGTACAAAAAACACATGTTATTTTTAAAGTTACGGTCAAACTTAGGTGGTGCAACTCAGCCTCAATCTAAAATTGTATAATTTGCAGGCGTTCCTTGATAGCATTAGAACGAGAACGCATCCAGCTTTCGGTGAGCTTTGCAGAAGAAGAAAAATATAGAAATTCTCTTTGGAAGATTGAAAAGCAGTACATAAACCATTATGAAAAGTGTAAATGTGGTGAGGGAATATTCTTCAAAGCCACATATGAACATGCCGAGTTCCAGAAAGATAAGCTACCGGTGGCTCGCATGAAGCTTGAAAGTATAATGAGGGATGTCCAGGATTCGTATTGTCTTCATCAGCATTCAGCTCTGTTGGCACATTGTCAGGTATGGAGAATGGAGGTGCCAAGTGTAAGTCTGCGGGCACGAAACTGGCGACGGCCGAGCTATGGGTGGGTCTACTGTCATATTAGTTAGTTTTGCAGGGCAATCGAATACCGCACTTAGCCTCATGATTGAGCCATTGTGCGCGATTTTTGGTTTATCTTCCTACTCCAACCACCCCAGATCCCCCCATAAGGCGAGCAGCCCGTCTAGGTTGCTACAGGCCTCCTGCAGCGACGATGGTTATCGAAGAAATTGAGCCTGTTGTTCTTCTCCGCTACTGCAATGAGCACATGCTGCGGTGTTTCCTCTGCCTCCATGCATCCCCTGCACAGTGGGCTGTCTGTAACACCTATATTGTGAAGGTGCTTGTTTAGCATACAGTGTCCGGTTATGACACTCAGGACCTTGCGGATGCTGTCCCTGTTTAGTCTGGTGAGGCTGCGGGAGAACTTTTTCGATACGTCCGGAACCGCATCTTTTGTTTCCCTGCATCCTTCGCTATTTTTCCATTCTGTGTGGTGTTTTTCTTCTGTTTTACTGTTATATGATACTGTGATACTGTCATGTTGTTGTATGTATCGCCCCGCTGTCTCAATCGCACGACCCTTCGCCAGTTTCGTGCCCGTAGACTAACTTCTAAAATTTCTTTAGTGTCCAACAACAGAGATAAACTTCTCTTCTGTACTAAAACCTTTTTCATTTTGTTTTTTACAGATCGAAGAGTTCATATCAGAAGTGGTCGTCCGTAACAA